CAGTCTGACCTAGGTAACTTCAAGTAAGGTTGGGTGATAAGTAATACTTTTCAAACTGATATTCATCAAATTACAAATTACAACAGGCGATATATTCACACGTTTAGAACTTTTGTGGCACTGCTATCAGCCAATAGTTGAGGATTTTTTGCACAGTCTTTGAGAATGCAGCATGATAGGTGATCAAAGCCCATAGTCCTGAGTTATTAGGGATTTACCATCTGACAGGAAAATTAGTTCAATCATTTAATGGTGGCTAGTATAAGAAATGATAGTGAATGACTGTTCCTGAGAGCTACTCAGCCAGTTTTATTATTACAGCCCTTTTTCTGTCCTACTTTTTTCTCATAGCATTGTCTTAAACTTTGAAAATGATTAGAAGTGTGTTTGTTTTGTATTGGCAGTCATAGCTCTAGGAAAGATGATCAGAAACCATTGATCACAGTTAGTGTTGGAGGAAAGTAATTACAGGGACGTGGGAGTGGATCATAACAAACCTGCAGAAGTATTCACAGAACTAAATTGTTCATTGCTAAGCCATTTTATTGCTCATCTGAGGGCACACGCGTGTCTGTTTGGCCTTGTTCTTAAGCAGCGACATGCTATAGTGTGATTTTTTTCCCTACAAGCCCCTGTAAGATATAAAATGCGTGCAAGTGCATGTGTGTGTAAGGACACAGTAGCTGTGCTGTCTGTGCTGCTTTAGACTTTTTCTTGTCATCTTGGTGGCTGGATCAGGTAGATGGGCCAGCGGCAGAGCTAGTTTTAACAAGCTGATAGGCAAATCCCTTCCTGGCTAAAGATTAACCACTTGCTAGAGCTGCCACTGCATTATCTCTCCACTGGCCAGGGCACACAGGAGCCAAGAGGATTTTGTGAGTGAGTGAGTGAGTGAGTGAGTGAGTGAGTGAGTGAGTGAGTGAGAGAGTGAGAGAGTGAGAGAGTGAGAGAGTGAGAGAGTGAGAGAGTGAGAGAGAGAGAGAGAGAGAGAGAGAGAGAGAGAGAGAATTGTGTGTTTATACCATTTAGCAATCAATCTGTTCATGTGTGTATGTGTGTGTTTGGGTGGATCTTATTTACATGTTGTTTGTTGTAATTTACCTTCCTTTTCCAGGGCTTTGCTTTGTTTTCCCTTAGGGCGTGACTGCTCTCCTGGAGTTAATTGCATCAGGAAGCTCTGTGTGTCTCAGCCACCTGATTAACCCTCACTTAAAATGTTATATTTGTGCTTCAACTCTAAACATCTGATTTATTCAGATCCTACCAGAGCTTTACATTAAGGCTCTTAGCCGTGGCCGTGGATGCAGCCTTTGTGTTCTTCCTGATCCACAACAGTGTCGTTTTAATCTGTGTTTGCTCCTGTGGATCGGTGGATTAAAGGGCTGTGACACATGCAGTTAACCGACACGACTCTTTAATTAACTGTAAGACAGCGCCATCTACTGGATGTTTTGAGGCTATGGAAAATTCTGTGAACATGTTTGGAAATAGATTGTGTTGAGATGTAAAAATGAGCTGGGTTATCTGGAAATTCAAAAAGCATTTTCATCCTAGATTTAATCAGATTACAATAATAATCAAGAGCAAATCAAATTTCTTTATTTATCAGAATTTATCCCATTGGGTAAATAGTTTGAATCTTTGGGAAATTGCATTTATTCTATAACTAATTTAAGACAAATGCAACTGTTGACTTTGTCACCCATAATATTCCCAGTGATTTTTAACCACTTTAAATTCTTTAGAAGAGATTTGACAGAATATAACAATGTAGGTGACAGCAGCTAATCCTAAACTGAGAAACCCTCATTGAGTCAAAGCGAGGTTGAGTTAGCATGGTGCTAACCATGTTAGCACCCTCACTGATGATATATAGGGTCGTGACTTCTTAAGGAAACCTACAAATGGCTGCAAACAAGCTACACAGTGCTCCCTAAACACAGCTGGATCTTAGTTGTGTTTAAGAAACGGGAGAGTAGAAGCATCTCCACTGGAGACTTCGACACTGCTCTGACCTCAGTAGTGCTTTTGCAAAACTTGGTCCATAGTGCTTGCCCATGTGGCTTACCCTTTGCTTTTTCTCTCTTCTGAGAAAAGTAGCAAATGACGGAAGGAGGAAATGACTAAAGAAACAAGTCATTCACACCCTTGCAAAAGCAGCACGACCTGCAGAGGGGAAGTCTAACCCATGCTTTCACCCTTTTCCTGAACCCTCCACCCCCTGGCCACTTACAAGGAGTGGTTATCAGGGTGGAGAAGGCTCAAGTGTAACTGTAGCATGCGTCCACGTGCACCGTGTCAGTCGGAATGCACGTCTACGGTTTGTGAAGGACTTCCTTGTTTGTGGTTATTGATAGATGTTGATTTTAGAGATGGAGAAATCCCTTACTTGTGTGTTGTAGAGTTGCACCATTGTTACTTGAATTTAACTTGGCAGTCATAAATCTATAGTTGGTAAAAGAGAAAAAGTCATATTTCAACGGGTTTCCATTCTGAAGCTCTCAAGTTTGTCACAGGCCATGACATGTCCTCTTTCTCTTCTCTCTTCTGTCTCAAATAGAGAAGTTGTCTACCTGCTCACTTACACACACACACACACACACACACGTGTGCACACACACACACACACACTCTGTGACACTCTCCAGCAATGGGGTCAGATGTGGTGACCGACTGAGCACCCTCCACTCCCCCTCCCCCAGTTTGCCTTGGCAGGACAGGCATGCATGTGTCTGTTATCTACAAATGGCTGAGGAATTATAGGTTGAGGGGAGAAGGAGGGAGGGAGGGAGATGGGAGTGAACGTGTGGATGAGGTCATGTGACATCGCAGCAGCTGCTAGCCTAAGAATTTCTGTTTTCTCACTTGGGGAGAGCGCTTGAGCAAGGAGGGGAGAGATAGGCGGCTTGTGTGGTGTGTTGCTTTGTTAGATAAGCTCTAAACGGTCTGCAAGAGAGACAGGAAGGCAGGGAGGGCGAGGGTGGATGGCTAAGAGAAGATTGAGCGTGGAAGAAAAGCCGTGCAGGAAGATGATGTGTGTTCTGTTGGTCGCTGTCTGTGTGTGCCGGGATTGGCTCGATGTGAAGATGCAGCCTTGGGGGATCCAGTCGGCTCCACTTCTTTGTGCTGTAAGACGCTTCGGCCAACCTTTTGATCTGTGAGAGGGATTCGTGAACCGCTGCCAGACCTCTCCATGTGTCTATTTGTCTGTCTACCTCTCCCTTTCCTGTTACTCGCATATCTTTGTCTGTATGTAGGTTTATGTGTGTGGTTTCAGTGTTAATACGCAGTGTGATGAGCCTTTAGGCAGCAAGTTTCCTAAAAAGTTCTCAGTAGATTTCTACTAGTGTGTTCGATTTTAAAGGACTTCCTCTTAAAAGAAGCGGTACTCTATTGTCTTGGCAACGTCAGGTTTTTGGACTGTAGTGATGTACGTGTGTGTGCGTTTTACCTCCTTGCTGGTCTGTTAGTGGGGCTGTGTTTGTTGTGCATCAAGTAGTCATTGTTGACTCCATTATTAATTGTTTGCTGGGTTCATTCAGAGTCCAACGGGTAACTGGGAGGTTATGGGCAGGACAGCTCGAGAGGTGTTAGGAATGCTATTCACTATCTCATGCCTCGCTTCCCACCGTGTGTGTGTGTGTGTGTGTGTGTGTGTGTGTGTGTGTGTGTGTGTGTGTGTGTGTGTGTGTGTGTGTGTGTGTGTGTGTGTGTGTGTGTGTGTGTGTGTGTGTGTGTGTGTGTGTGTTTTGCTTGAGCTATCAGACTCCACTCTGGTATTTAGGGATTCCACTGACAGAGGGCCTGTCAGCATGGTTCACTTTACGACACACACGCACGCACGCACGCACGCACGCACACACACACACACACACACACACACACACACACACACACACACACACACAGAGGAAGGAAATGGACAGCCATCTCAGCCCTCCTTGCTGCTTCTACACTTTCCGCTGAACTCCTCTAAAGAGTTTAGGTTTTAAAACTAAGAACCCCCCTTGCATCTTTTATTTTGCTGTTCAAGACATTTTATTGACACTTTTTTGACAACATAAACCAAAAAAATGTATAAAATACCTAGTTAGAAGGTAGGGATGTTCGATATTTTACCCAATATTATTATCGGCCGGTATTAGTATTAAAAGTGTTATCGGCATCAGATTTGACACCTTTGATGACACAGTAACTTTTACATACCATGCACATATTATACATCTAACTCTTCAGCTCCTTCTCTTCAATCAAAATGTCAAAATATAACCGATCCAGATTATAGTTTTTAAGTATTTTTGTTTGCTTTGCACAACTGGCCTAACGTTAACTGAAGAAGTTGTCATATTTTGTGCAAATGAGGTATGTAATGTAAGTTACCTCAAATTATTTAGCTTTTTTTTTTATAAGAGAGAGGGTTATATCTTTATTGGACATTAAGAGTTAGACTATTTCAGCAGATTGAATACCAGATATATTTACATTGGGTATTGGTCAAGGCTAATGTCGTTACTTTGTCAGAGTTGCCCATACCAAGCATGCGGCGCGTTAGTACTAAAACTGGCTGAAACTGAGTTTTTAAAAAATCAACTCGGTAATGCTTGCTATCTATTGTATGTAACGAGACGATGGATCTCCAGTAGACATGTATGTTTCTAATGTAATTTGAGCAAAGGAAGAGTGACCTGCCCTCTTAACCTTTCACCCCTGACCCTAAAACATACAACTGCCAATCCCCATCCTCCCCAGCTGTCACCAACCAAAACCCACCACCGCTCTCTTCCCCAACTGGCACAATGTCAAGGGAAGCAGCCAAGTACCTCAAGCCACTTGCTTGTTTGCATTGTTCTTTGCTTATTTTATTCTTAAATAAGCACATTTGTGTTCGTTTGTGCAAGTGAAAATCTTTGCTGTGCAAGTGTTTTGCTTCACCTTTGATGTCATTTGGCTTCATGATTGGTAATAATTGCTGTACTCCTCCTTGTTTGTCCATTTTTTAGGCATGAGCCATGAGCCAAAGTCACCATCATTAGGAATGATCTCCACAGCGACACGTACCACGGCGACAGTCAGCCCCCTCACCCCGTCGCCTCTTAACGGCTCCATCGTAGCAAATGGAAGCCCAGCTGCGCAGTCGGCCCACTCTGGATTTGCTGCAGCCCTCCGTAAACTGGCAAAACAAGCTGAAGAACCCCGAGGTAAAGCTACAACTTGCTAAAAGTTTGCAAGCGTGCGCACTAAATTTGTGGCAGACATATTTTTTTCTCCAGTCTAGCGAATATCAGAAGTTGATTGCTTTTAAATGACTTCCTTCAATGTGCAAGATCTTTTTCTGTCATAATTATGAAACTTTGACACTTATTTGTGTCAAATCAAATGACTGCTGTAGGCCGTTTGTCTGGATGTTGTTTTATTTGTACACTTATTATCAATCAAAGTTGTGTACGTAATTATTACATCATCAAAGGGAAATCCACAGATTTTTGCATTTGTTGTTGTCCCATGAGATGCTGATATGAGCCATTCTAGCCATGTAATGCACTTTGTGCAAGTCTGTACATTTGGCTGCGCTTGTCATGGTGCTTACTTTGCCTTTTTGGTTTTCTGTCCTTCATAACTCTTTCCTAGTGAAATGCATTAAGGCTTTCATCTTAGAGCTCTATCCTTTAGCTCTGTGACTGAAGACTTGGTGGACTTGTCCCTTTAGAAACATGTTGTTGTAAATAGAGTAGGGAATTTCTGGCTCCTTCATTATTGTCTCATATTTTTGCCTAATGCAAAAAAACACCAAAGAAGTCATAAATAGTTTTTTATTGTAGGTGTTTCCTGGTTCCTGGACTCTGCGCCTTGGCACCAGAGAGGCCCAGCTTCTCCACTCTCCCCGCCTTTGTGTTTTGGCTCCTAAATCAGATGCTTCCCTCTTTATTTGCTGTCCATGGACATGTGGCTCTCCGGCCGACTGGAGTGTGAGACCCAGAATGCTGCAGATGATTTATTACCTTCATTGGGAGATCAGTCAGATCCAACGACTCTCGACTCCTTCCCAGTCCTCTTCTCACTCTGCTGCTCGAGATCTCGGCCCTATTGCTTCCTGGCTTTCACACTTTTGCTCTTTCAAACTGAAATATTCTCCTTAAGATTCCACTTTTGCATTTTAATTGTATCGCCGAATCATCTTTTCATAATCAAAAAACGTTCCTCCCGGTTCTTTTGCGTGACTCGTTTGTAAGTCTTATATTTTCTGATTTATTTTCAAGCAAGTTGAAAATAACTGTGTGCAGGTTAACCAAAACAAACGTTGGGAAATACAGATAACAAGCAGATCCTGCCTGATAAAGCCCCTAGCTCCTTTTTTAAATAAAAGTGAAATTCCTTTGTTATCTCTGGGGCCTATATTAACTGGTTAAAGGAGGTGGAGATGTGTGTGTGTGTGAGTCAGCTGTCAGGCATACAGTAAGGTGTGACTGCCTTTCTAAAGTCTATCGTTTCCAAGGTGGGCAGAGAGTCGTGAAGCCCTGAAGCTCAAGTCATTTTTCTGTCTGCATAGCCTATATTTATAGGCAACATACACACCCAAACACCCCCACACATACAAACAGTTGTCTTTGCAATGTTATAAGCTTTGTGATTTTTGTGCAAGCTGCAGCCTGCTGTCCTTTCATTACCTTTTGACTCAACCTCCCTTTTCTCTTTCTCAACCTCTGGTTTATGCTTTTGGGGGCAGTGTGTATGAGCTGCGGTGACTCACGTTAGAAGGCTTTAAGGAATTAGTTGTTGAGTACTAGCATCACCGCCACCAGCCACTGAACTGATTTAAGACTCCAAGTATGGCTACTGTTTATGTACACACCCACACACCCGTACACACACACACACACACACACACATGCATCGTCACTTGTCTGTGGCGAGTATAATGAATAGCTCTGTGTATTGAGTGCTGTGCTGAAGAGGGGAGGTGATGGATAATGAGTATCGGAGCAGCATAAAGGACACTCTCATCCAGCTTACTCTCACATCTGCAGCAAACACACACTGCCAAAAAATAAAGCTACTGATATCTGATTAATTAAGCAGATTTTGGGCTTAATCATCCCAGACATTTCTTCTCTCTCTCTTTCCTTAGACACACACTCACAAAATGAGAATAACCGTTTCCAACCGTAGTACGCTGCATGGAGAGAGAACGAAAGGAGGGAGAATAAAAATGTTCAGGACGGATAGAAACAACTGAGCTGACTAGATGAAAGAGGGATAGGAAGTAATTGGTAGATTAGTGAAAACCAGAAATGTGTGTGGGTGTGTTGGAGTGTATGTGTGTGGCCGGAGGCTTCCCTTGTTTCTGGGAGCCCAAAGCATGCTGGGACAGTGGGGCAGTGTGTCTCTGACCCCTCCATCTGGAGCCTGCCTGGAGCTCGCGCCGCCTCACTGTGCTTGGTGCGTGCGTGCTTGTGTGTGTGTGTGTGTTTTTGTGTGTTTCTCAAAGGCAGAACCCTTTAGGCTGTTACTGTCCCTAAAACGGTCATAAACAAGCTCATTTTCTTTACCTCCCCTCTGTGTTTTTGTTTGCAGCAACCTTTCACAAGTCTGATCAGGAATTTTAGCGTCACACTTCGAAGAGTCAGCAGAAGACACACAGGACTGCTCCTCTTATTTCCATCCGCCATCTTGTACTGTCTTCCTTTCTCCCGCTGGCACAGCAACACACACTCTGTGGGTGTGTGCGTGTGCGTGTGTGTATGTGTGTGTGCATGCATGTGCCTCTCCCCTCCCCCCAGCTCAGTGATGCAGATTACAGGCTTTGTGTTGTGTTGTCAGTGCATGTCCAAGACTGTGGTAGCAGGTGTGTGCAGCGCTGGTGTACATCTCTGTGTTTGTGTGTTAAGAGTGCACGTGTTGAGGCTTGTGCTAGTGGGGTGGCATATGGATGCAGGGCTGGCTGGGCACTGCCATGCGCACCAGGTGTGAAATGGACTGTTTAATTAAGTGCTGATGTTGTTGTAATGCATGCTGGGAGGGAGGAGGAGAGGTGGGGTGAGTTGGGTGTGTTGGCGAGGTGGGAGGAGAGCAGCCTCATCCTGGCGGGATGCTCGGCTGTTTAGACAGAGGTGATGATGGGGGGAGAGGACTGGGTGGGGCAAGGCAACACTAAAGTGTGTGTGTGTGTGTGTGTGTGTGTGTGTGTGTGTGTGTGTGTGTGTGTGTGTGTGTGTGTGTGTGTGTGTGTGTGTGTGTGTGTGTGTGTGTGTGTGTGTGTGTGTGTGTGTGTGTGTGTGTAAGTATAAAAGGCCCCGCTGAACATCTCAGGCATCATTTCTGGCTCTTTTCCTCTAGGTCTGTGCTTTAAGTAAGCGGTGTTGTCTGAGCAGTCACTTGGCCATCGCCTCTGACCACATATTAGCTGGCTTGTTTATTGCTGCTGCCGGTTGGTTTAGGTGTGTGTTGTTTGTACACGTGGATCAGGTTGAGCAGTCAAGTGTGGAGGCAGTCCGTGAGAAAAGGGACTGATAATAGAGGAGGCGATGGAGGACGGAGGTTCGCATTAATCATCACAGCTCAGTACCGAGACACGGTTCTCCCTTTTATCTATTTTGTTGCACTTTCTTTCTGCCTCCACCTCCTCTCTCCCTCTTTTTCTTCCAAGCAGCCCCCCGACCCCATCATACCACCACACACCCCAACACGTCACAGAAGTGGAAATCAGTGCTGCTAATGAAGTGCAGGTTGAGAGCTGATGAACCTATTTTAGACCCTGGGGATGAACGCTTGTGCTTCGTTCTTCCTCTTTTAGCTCCAGCTTGTGTGGCCATCTCCTCTGTTGGTGGGAAGGGATGCACACATGGCAGAGATGAAACTAGGCTGGTGCCAGTCACAAGCCCTGCATGGATGATTTCTCTTCACACTGATAATCAGAGGAAAGTAAACAAGAGAGAATCCTAAACTAGAGATTGAGGCTTGGTAACTGAAAGAGGTCTGTGAAATCCTGGTTTTCTCCAGATTCAGTCCAAAGAGGAGGTCTGGGCTGAGATGTTGCTACATTTGATGTACAGAAGGAAAGTGAAGAATGGAATATGAAGAGGTGGTGGGTGTGTGGAGTGGTGGAGGCAAATAAGGAGGTGGGAACAATAGAGATAATCCATGCTTGTCTTATTTTTATGCTCTTTTTTTATTTGTTCTCTGCATCCCCATCAAAGAAGAAGGCTTAGAAGTGAACACAGATTCTTCAAGCAGTAGGATGGCTCTTGTCTCCTTTGTTTCCATCCTACCCTCACCTGCTGCTTTTCCTGCTCTTAATTATTTAGTCTGCCCTGCCTCTTCTGTGGTCTGCTCTGCCTCCATGAAGAAGAGCAGGCGTTGGGGTGTGTGTGTGTGTGGGGGGGGGGGTTACTGTTGCTTAGCAGTTGTGAATCACTGTCATCATCCCACCGCCATCACCTCATTCCATTCCCCCTCCTGCTTTACTTGTTCCTCTACCCTTGTGTATGCATGGTGTGTGTGTGTGTGTGTGTGTGTGTGTGTGTGTGTGTTAGGTGGGGGTGGAGGTGTGTGTGTGTGTGTGTGTGTGTGTGTGTGTGTGTGTTAGGTGGGGGTGGAGGTGTGTGTGTAATGAGTGAATAGGATGTGACACTGGAGCTGTATTACGTGTAGCTCCATTCCCCAGGCTGAGTGGGCTGCTATTGATTGGCCTAGTCTTGTAGGGGAGAGTAATGGCTCTCCGAGGTAAGGGTAGGGGGCGAGGGGGGTGGAGGGATTAGGCCACTAATTGCCATTGTGCAGACAAGATATGACTGCCCCCACCCCAACCCCATCCACCACTCACCCATCTGCACTCCTTATGTGCGCTTCCCTCTCACCTCACTCCTCTTTTGCAGTCTTTTTTATTTCCAATCACTCATCTCTTATCATTTTTCATTTTCGTGTCTCACCGCACTTCATTATCTTTTTTTTCATTTCATTTAGTCTCTCTTGCCAGTCCCGCCACCACTCACACACAGATTTTGCAGATAGACATCACCTCACTGCCATTATCGATTCCTGCTATTAGTTAATGGTAGTAATCAGAGTGAAGACTTTAATATGATTCAATGTCTTGACACCTCTCGATGTTGTCTGTTAGGTTATGTTGCCATGGAAATCAAAGCAGAGAAGACACAGCAGTTCTGTGGAGTCTTTTTTTTGTCTGGTTTGATTTTGTTCTGGAGAGGAAACAAACACCAAAACTGGCCACACACACACACACACACACAGATATGTACACACATATACATGTGTGTATATGCATATGTATGTATGTGTGTGGTTGCATAATATTTGATGCACAAACATCATGCTACCTGCACACTTGGGCACTCATCTTTCTTTGTCCTTTTTGCAGCACCAAAGTGTGTGCCCCATTGAGAGGGTTGTGACCCAGTTTGACTGCGTAATGCTTTACTTCCTATGAGAGGTGGTGATTTACAGCACCCTGTACTGACAAGAGAAGAGGCTTGCAGGAAGAAGAAAAAAGAAAGAAAGGGGAATGAAAGAACACAGACGATGTTCAGGCAAAAACACAGGAAGGAGTAAAGAAGTGAAAATAAATAAAGGAAGTGAAGACAAGATTAGAATAAAACGGATGAAATGGCTTGAGAGCAACGGAAGGTTGCGGTGCAGAAGATGAAAATCGGAATAAAAGTATGTGAATGTGAGTAGATCACATTAGCGGCTTGTAGCTCAGGAGAGAGAAAGCGAGATGTGTTGAAAGGGAAGCATGTGACCACACCGTGACCCTGCGCTACAGGGTATCCCTGGAGGGCTTTGTTAATGTGGCACAGCTACAGCACAGCACAGAAGCTCATTGGACCAGCTCCTCACCACCTGCTGTGCTTGTGTATGTGCTGTGATGGGAGGGGAGAGTCCTGTAAGCGGCACATATACATACAGTAATGCTGTTAACGTTTGAGCGGCGTGTTGCTACGGTGTGTTTGTGTCCTGGACACCAAGGCTGTGGGACTCTCAGGGTTGCTCATCCTGATCACCATTACTCTTAAGGGGCCCAAGGCCATCCATCTGGCTCTGTGTGTGTTAGTGTGTGAGCATTTGCGTAACCTCTTTTTAACAGAGTGTGAAGGAATTACACAACCCATGTTAAAGTAACAAAACCTCTTATCAAGTACGCCTTTGCAACATTTCCTTAACTGGACTTGTCTCCTGTTTTTCTGCAGCTGCATCCTCCATCAGCAGCGAGTCATCTCCAGTGTCCTCCCCAGCAACCAACCACAGCTCTCCAGTCAGTACGCCCAAAAGAGGTCCACTGGGTCCAGGGCCTGTCCTGGTTCCCCCATCGGGCCACAGTGTGCCAAACACTCCACCTGTAGTCACCATTGCTCCAACAAAGACAAGCAACGGCCTGTGGAGGAGTGAAGGACGCCAGGTAGAGTATCATTTATCCTCTTTCTCACATTGACCTTGAGTCTGCAGTCCTTTTGTTCGTCTTTTTTTTTTTACTCTGAGTTGCTTTTTCTGATGTCTTTCCAGTTTCTTTTCTTTCATTCTGTTTTCATCCCCCTCTCTTCTGGCTCTGGAAGTGATATTCAACTCTTCTCATTTGTCAACTTGCCTTGAGCACAAATGCACATCCAGATGGGCTCTTCAGGGATCAATGGATTGTGTAGCTGGCCCACAACTTGTAATGTGGCAGTATATGCTTGACATGTGTGTGTGCGTGCGTGTGTGTGTGTGTGTGTGTGTGTGTGTGTGTGTGTGTGTGTGTGTGCGTGCGTGCGTGTGTGACATCGCTGGCTGTGAATATGTATCAACCAGTTCAGTGGCTCGGCGCTCTAAACAATGCCAGCTGCCGCGGGGACATCGAGGTGACAGCATCGACGGCAGCTAACATCTGTGCCCCTCTGGGCCCATTCCCATTTGACCTCCTGGATCAGCTCCTCTCTAGTTCTGGTCTTGACCTCTCATCCTCCAGCCTCCCTCAACCTCACTTCTTGCCTCACCCCTCTCACCTCAGCAGTCAAATGCATCATCTGCCTGCTCGACCTGACATCCGCGCTCGGTTGTGTGGCTGGAGTGAGAGAGAGAAAGCGGGAGAGCTGCTTGCTTTGATAAGGAGTGGATTATGGATTATGGCCTTGCTTTAAGCCTTCTTATCTCAGCTCAGGGCTAATGGTTGAGGCCAAGTGCATGGTTATGAGCAGAGCACGGCAGCATGCGGAAACCCTCCGGGACACTTTTACGGTTCCCAGGGGACAGGCCGAAGGGGGGTGGCGGTGGGTGGGTGAAAAGGTCAATCAGACATATATGTGTGGTAGCATTCAGGCCGTTGTCCGTTCTCCTGGAAGGAACCCTCCCCCTTCCCCCCTGAACCTCACCCTGTGTAGCTACAGCTTTTCCAAAATGGCACCCCCCCTCTCTCTGCTGTGTAAAGGGCAGCCAGATCGGGGGGGGGGGGGGGGGGGGGGGGGGGGGGGGGGGGGCAGAGGAGACCAGGCAGCTCTCATAAAGACGTCATCCTTATTTATCATCGCATTTACGTAGCAGAAGAAAACATAAAGAGGCAAGCCCTCCCTCCACTCCTTCCTTCATACGGTGTAGATAATTCTCAATTGTACGCATTTGTTTGTGTGCTTTTTCACTGTGGCTGCAAGTGTGTACGTAAGAGGTCACACTCAGACTGAAAAGGCCAGGTCAGTGGGTTTGCAGTGGCCCCCCAGAAGCAGTTCCCGGCTACCCCGCTGAAGAATGAGGAGGTTAAGAGAGGTGATGGTGACAAGAGGTTGGGATGAGGGGTCAAAGGTTTGGGGAACAGCAGGGGAGATGTGTCATGAAAGCTGGCATCGTGGCATCTCCAGCATTTCTGCTGCAGCTGTTTAAAGAGCCAGCAGACTCCCAAAGCAACATATACAAACACACTTCAAGTATATTTGCTTTTAATAGTAGTGGAATGAGTTGTTCTTCTGAGAACCATTCTACTGCGATTTAAAAAAAAAATCAAAATAAACAGGAAATGGTCGCAAACAGAAGCAGTAATCTGATCCCTGGCTCTCTTGTAAGGTGCTGACCAAAAATGTGTTCTAAGCCATCTTTTTGGCGTATTAGAAGGAGGATTGCAGTGGCTGAGGCATGAGTCTATCTTTTAGAGGTAGGGTTAAAGGCAGCTTGAGCGAAGGAGGGATGGCTCGGTGCGTTGGCATTTTGCTTTAATGACTGCGGGAGTCTGCTCCCGCTGCTGCCTGTAATTGCTTTATAATTGGCAATTTGGATTCATGCCTCCATCTGAGAGGCATAAACGAGCACTCTACAATGCACAGGGTCTCCCACCCTTATTGAGGGTTACGGGGGCCTGGCTCCTGCTGAGGAAGATGGTTGTTAATGGATGTGTCTCTGAGTGCTTGTGTTTGTGCTGGCCACAGTATGTACATCGTGATGGGCTGCTGGTGGGTTTTCAGCAAGCGAGAACACAAAATGCCTCGTCTGGTTGATTGTGTAGGTGCTTAAATGACTAAAGGGGAACCTCTAATGGTGGATAGGTTTTGTGTTTGTGCAGGGTACTTTTTATAGCATTATAACTTGTAGCGTCCAGTCCTTGGCATCTGAGCACTTATAGATTTACCTAAATGCCAACTAAGGTCCAAAAACAAATGCATACCTTAGATAAATCATTTTGCATGTAACATGTTTTTCCTTCTTTTACATATATCATTGTCTGCATGAGAACCTGAACCAATTAATGGCTCATTTAAAACAACACCTTTATTGTTGCTGCTCCGTGTTATTATGGGAAATTTGTTGGAAAAGAACAGTTGATTTGATTTCTGTGCTAATTTGTGCCTTGAAGTTGAACCTCTAATTTCCCTCTGGGATTAATAAAGTATCTTTGAATTGAATTTGACAGTAATCACATCACCATTGTGGTTGTAGAACGACTGCCTGGTGACGCACACGCTGAGTATGACGCGTGATATTGATCACAGGGTCAACCTCGCCGTGCCAAATACTGGTTAACGGCTAAAATGTGATCAGGCTTTCATAAATAACAGAACTGGGTTTGATTGTTTGAGTCACTGTCAGATTTTATTACAGAAACATGCATGTCATTTTTTTGCAGCATCAGTGATGTTCTGGCAATAAAACGGACAACCGTGAGGTTCAGTCATTATGATAATTATTGATAGACGGTGTGACTAAAGCAGCTCTTTTATGGATTTTTTGAGCATATGATAATCAAGTCTTTGTCTCTAGTCTTATATTTCTACAGCTATTCGTGTTTGTGTTGCCAAAGAAAAGAGGTGTCAGTGAAACGCAGCACATCTGCAGATGACTTAATATGCAAACACTGGATTTAGTAAAAAAAAAGCAATAAGTAAAGGTCTCCTCAGCTGATGCCCCTGGACTCGGTCCGTACCGTTGGGTACAAACGACCAAATTGTCTTCTTGCATACAGCTTTATTTATTCACAATCCTTGTCCAGCTTGTTCGTGTAATCTCTACTCATTTTTAAGCATAGTTGTACATCAAGTCTTCATGTTTTTTAGTGTTTTTCAGAATAAGAAATTGATTCAGGTCCATAGAAGTCTGTGTTGTCTTACCCTGGAGGGACCTTCATCGCAGAGCTTGAGGTGTAGCAAACCATATATTTCTCATTTGGACATTATTGGTTATAGATCAGGTGAATGTCCACAATAACATTCTATTGTTTTAGAGGTGTGGTTGACTGATAAAGCACTTTTTAATTATTATTTCTTATTATAATTGGTCACTCTGAGTCTTCCACACCGACCTCCTGCGTTAGCATCTGACAGAAAATAGACAATGAAACTCTAGGATTTGAAAATCCTCACATTTCTATGTCACACTTAGTTAGCATCCATGGCCTTGCTCATCTTGGCTTGCGCCCGCCCACATGAACGGCTTTAAAAAAAATTGCAGCGAGGAGAGAGAACAGAGAGGGTCTTGGTGATAGTGACTTTGCAACATGGCTGAACGTTCTGTTATCCAATCGAAAGCAAGATGTGTGCATATCATTAATAATAATAATAAGTAATCCTGCTGTTTTCAGCCCACCTCTTCACCAGCACACTTCTGCATCTCAGAACAGGAGCATCAAACCTTTTTGTTTTTCCAAATAACTCACAGGGCATGGATTAACACGAGAGAAAACTGCAAATGTATTGAGTACATTAGTATACCACACCTTTAACTTTTAACGTTCAAGCAGATTCAAGTAATTTTCAGCACACCACAAACTAGCTCAGTGGCCTAGTGGTACGGGTGTCCGGCCTGAGCCTGGGAGATTGTGGGTTCAAATCAAGTCCACGGTCGGGTCATACCAAAGACTTTCAAAAAATGGGACCCAATGGCTCCGCGCCTGACACTCAGCGTTAAGGGGTAAGATGGGCGTGGTTAAACCACTAAAATGGTTCCTGAGCGTGGCTTTGTCTGCAGCTTCCCCCCAGGGAACGGGTCAAATGTGGAGAACAAATTTGGCACACCAGTGTGACGACTAGTGGGACTTTCACTAATGAAAATAATTACTTTATCACATGTTTTTAAGTGGTCAAATAAATGCGTCAATGTATTGTTTTTGCCAGTGTTGCAATTATTGCTCTGATTGGTGGATTGTGTGTTCTACTTGTTGATAAAGTGTTAGAAAAAAATCTGGCAGAAGCAAAAATGTGATTGTTTTTTTTTAAATTTTTTGTTAATTATCTGTTTTATACCTAAATTTAATGTTTTTGGCATCAGTGTGGGCAGAAAAGTAAAAATATGATTGTACAGGGTAATGTGTTTCCTTACTGTACATATGACAATAAAAGCTTTGAACAGCTTTGAGCACTCTGAGCCATAAAAGAGGAGACAAGCAGCTAAGAATGAACATTAACATTATTCTGCATCTCCCAAACCACTAATATTGGCAGATTTCTGACGTACAGCCCTCTTTTCCACTTGGCCGCGGAGGCCGTTGGGGAACATCCACCTTTTCCCTGTGCTCATAAAGCATTGAAGGGCCGGGAAGGGGTAGGTAAGACTGCTGGCTTTGAGGGAATAAAGTGTCATAGAGTTAAGTGAAGCGTGGCAAACCACATGGAGCAAACAGTAACATTAGACTACTGGAAAGTGCAGAGAGGGCTTTAAACAAAGGGTCAAATGAAGAGTCTGAGCATTAGAGGCATTTAAGATTGGATGTTGGCGCATCGGTGTCAGCCCGGGTCGGTGGCTGAGGAGGAGGACGGAGAGGTAATGGCTCAGTAAATGGGATTTGTTTTATCAAAGGCACTGGTGAGAGAGACGCCGGTACTGCTGTAAGGTCTTTTTCAATTCCCAGGGAGCCCAGAGGTTAATTTAGTAGGGCGAGAACTGCCTTCTCCTTTAGCTCACTGGCTTTACGGCTTCATCTCAGTCTTTTCCGTCTCCCTTGTTTCTTCTTTCTAGTTGTTCTCTTGCCAGCTTGGAGTTTGCTTTTTGCGAGGCGTCTGATAAAGGCTTCACGTTCCCCGTGAAAATCTTCCTCGACTGTGCATCCTCCTATAAACAACGTCCTCGTAGAACCTGTGAGGATCGTAAAACATTTTCAGTGCCGCAGTTTGCATTTGTGGACCGAGGAAAACTAAAGCTCCAGAAAGCACACTCCCACTCTCGCAGCAGGATGTCTTTTGTAGCTCTGTAACAGTGTATGTGCCTGCTGAGTGTCTGTGTTTGCTTGTTGTGGGATTGAATAAGTGAGACCAGGCTTGCTGCCAATGAGAAGGAGGGAGAGATGTGGACGAGGGAAGAAACAGAAATGGAGGCACAGGGATGTTGCATTTTGGACTTTGTTGTCTTCCCTGTAGATTTTACTTTGAGTAGAGCATAACCACACACACACACAGAGACACACACACACACTTTTGCTTGGATCAAAGTGTAATGGAAGCACTACTGTTTGCCATTACTGCATCCTCATTGATCATACGGATGTCATCTCTTGTTTACAATTAGAGAAAAACTGTTGTAGCGTTTTTATTTTCCACTTCTTCCTGCCTGATTCTTTCATTTTACCATGAATTACCTTATATAAATGCGAAGCAGTCTATTTTTATCAGCTGATAGCATGTGAGAAATTGTGTAAAATAGCCCGAGGTAGGAACAGAGGGTGAAGGAGGCTGCCACACCACAGACAAGCACATTCTTTCTCCTGTCTCCCCCCTCAAAGGATCGGCTCCATGAGCAGTGACAGCCATGACGGTCGCAGGTCCTAACAAACAATAACTAAAACTCTCCCTCTCTCTGTCTTTAGGCTGACTCGGGGCCTCGAGGGGCCAGCAGGGAACGTCTGGGTGCTGAGGGGTCCTTCTCCCAGGAGAAAGGTGGCCCCTCAGTTCCTGCTCACCTCCTGGGAAACCCCTATGCCTTTGGTCTCACCCCTGGTGCGGTCATGCAGGATTCGCGTTTTCAGCCCCTTAAGTGAGTCCTTTTTGGGTTTGATTCGTCTGCACATCAGATTCTCAGCTTATATTCATCTATACGGATAAATATGAGTTAACACAATAAACGTTCAGAAATCTAACAAAACTCTGTTGATCATTTACTCCCTCAGCTTGCCCAGACAGTTGCCTAACACAGTGCCTCCTGGTCCTGTACCAGAAGAGTACCTCCGGGGCTTCCGGCCCTATCCAACAGCCGAGGATGCCCTCAGGATGCCATCTCTGCCTTTGGGCCTGGACCCAACAGCCTATTACCACCCCGGCTACATGCCCCACCCCTCTTTTGCGCCATACAGGTCAGTATGCAGTAGAGCTGAACGATCTATCGTTTTTGGACCGAAATTGCGATTTCAAACAGCACGATCACGTGACCGTCAAAGCTGCAATTTTAGTGTTTTTGACTGATCCAGGATCAGTTGTGTAACTTTTTTTTTTTACATCCGGGGTTTTTCCCCTGTGTTATGGCGGCGGCAAAAGCCAGCGCTGGGGAGGGGAGTGGGGTGTACCGTCCAGAGCCGAGCCCAACCCCACAGCACAGGGAAAACTGTATGCATTTTTTGTTATTTAATACATTTAAAAGCTATTTCTACCTACAGATTTCCTCCATGCATTTTTGGAGTAGAACATGTTTTTATAAAGCTCCTCTCTAGATAAAAATCACAAGCACAAGTTGCTTCACAAACACATTAAAAAAATAAAAAAAGATAATAATGGGAGAAAATATGAATAGCTTTAACTTTTTATTGTATGATTAAATAGTAAATATTAATGTGAATGATTTGTTGTCCTAAATTAGAATCTAGACCATCTTTTCACTTAATCTACAGGATGGCGTGGCAGGCTAGTGTTGGACCTTTGCAGAAAATCGTGAATTAAACAGAAATCGCAATTTCTGCTAGAAAAATTCAATTCAATCTTTTCCTAAAATCGTTTAGCCCTAGTATTCAAATTCAAATTCAAAGATACTTTATTAATCCCAGAGGGAAATTAGAGTTTCAGTACACACAATTCTGAGATCAGACATACATACATACATAAGCATAGACACATGACAAGAATTGGTGACTGTGGTCATTCGCAACCCGAGTCGCGCTACCTTAACAGAAATCAGAGGGTTTTTATAAGAGGATTGAGTCAGGTGGAGGGACAAAAAATGCACTTCAGAGTTACCCTCCACAGGTAGGGCAGCTTTGCTATGCAAAAAACACCTCAGACAGAAATGCAGCAGACTTCAGACATTACACAACATAAGTGTCCACTAGGTGGGGAGGCAGGGTTGGGGACTCTCCACACATCAGTGCATGCAGCCACGATAAGCAGCGCTCGTCACCTTCGTTTGGACAGGGGAAGGAGGTAGTTGGGTTAGAAAGCACAGTGACTCCTGGAAACGATTCAATGGCCTTCACCGGTCGCAGTCCTGCCCAGGCTGGGATAGGGAGACAGAGTTGCCATGGCGACGGCAGCATTCCACATTTCTTCTGAGGGGGAGAAATCACTTCAGCCTCACAGGCTCAAGGGCACCAGATTCAGATCAGAACTTGTTTTGGGGCCAGACAGAGATAATTTCCTGTCTTAAAGCAGTTCTTCTCAGACTCCGCAACAGTGTTTTTGTTTATTTGTATTCAGTAGACAAAGTTAAAGTAAAACATGACTCAAACAAATTACAAAGCAGCAAATTCAGACTTTAAAACATTCAGACCTTAAAACAGATGAAAGACAACTGAGTGCCTTTTGGCACTAACGAATGAGATGCCAAACCTTCCCATCGCTCAAGAATAGCGTCCTAAATTATGGATAAATGCATCGACGCTGGACAAGCTGCCAGTAAATAGCCTGTCTTTAAAAAATCTTTGGCTGTCGCTTTCAAAATGCTTTTAAGTGGTTGAATATTTCTGTTAATTGCTGAAGGAACTGGTTTTTCTATTTATAGCTTATACAGGGTATCTGCAGGTCCTTAAAAAGTCTTAAAAAGTCTTAAATTTGCTTTTCTAAATTTAAGGCCTTAAAAAGCCTTAAAAATGACTAATAGTCCTTAAATACAGTTTCCAAAGGTCTTAAATTACCAAATACCCAATAAACAAGAATTTCTATTTAGTCTTCAGCATTTTTTGTGTATGATGTTGGTGTAAGCGGAACCGTACACATTCAGTTGGTTGTTAAAGAGGGCTATTTTTAGATGAGCACATTAGCTGGTTAAGCTAGTGGGAGCTTGCGCGATGGGGAAGTGCAAGTTTAATGGTAACTGGGTGGCTAATCCCACGTTTCCGACGTGGTTAGCACCGGTTCCAGGCAATAGCTGGAAATTATAGCTTAAATTTAATTTAAAAAATAGCTTAAATTTGGTCAAAGTGGCCTTAAAAAAGGTCTTAAGGAGTCTTAAATTTGGCTCCCTTAAACCTGCAGATACCCTGTTATAAAGGTGTTGCAGCGATGCTCTTACTCAGCTTAATTTCTGTTTGTATACCTTTACATTGATGAGGTCACAACTAAAGATGGAAATAGAAAGAGACAACAAGAGTTGGGGTTATTTTGTATTTGTTATATTTTTGGCGCATATTAATTAACGTTTGAGAGAAATAACCCTTAAAGTGTTTCTTGAAATCCCACAACAACATTTCTGCTGAGTTTTTTTCTTAATAAAATGAGATTCATTTTGTTCTAGTAACTGCAGCATTTTTTATACATATATAAGAAATGCTAATTACTGAGAGTGTAGAGAAGGTCCCTGCTTGCTCCAGGCTATTACACAGGCTACATGCTCCTAGTGTGTCATCTAAGCAAGATCATAGGACTGCAGCACCCATCACACACACTGCACTGTAATGGATTTAATGAGGGTCTGGGCTGTGGATGTCACACGCACACACACGCACACACACACACACACACACACACACACACACACACACACACACACACACACAGAGCTGGGTATCAACCTGCAGCACTGTCTTTCCCTGGCTGCTGTGTGCCGATTGAACTTGGCTGACAGATAACTGCTTCCTTCTTGAAAGACAGCCTCCTCACCCCCCGTGAAGTTTCTTTTTGGGGAGATGGAGCCACACACGTTAATGAAAGTAAACATCACACTGTCACACAGGAGATTGACTTCTTTTTTCTTCTATTCCAGAATGGATGACCCGTTCTGCCTCTCTGCTTTAAGGTCACCTTTCTATCCACTGCCAACAGGGGGAGCGTTACCCCCCATCCATCCTTCTGCTGTTCACATGCACCTTCCAGGGCTCCGCTACCCTGGAGACTTTGCACACCCTTCGCTGTCAGCGCTGCAGTCTGAGAGGTAAAAGTCCCGCTTGGTAAATAACATTGAGCAGATCTCAGCACTCTGCCGCAATCATGTGTTGCTGTCGTTTCTCCCACATTTCGCTGACATCTCCTTTCGTCCCTTCGTCCACTTCCAGGCTCCAGCTGGATGATGAGCTGCGGCAGCGCGAGAGGGAGCGCGAACGGGAGCGTGAGCGGGAAAAAGAGAGGGAGCGCGAGGCGGAGAGGGAAAAAGAGCGGGAGAGAGAACGAGAGCGCGAACGGGAACGAGAGAAGGAGCTGGAGAGGGAAAGGGAGCGAGAGAGAGAACGGGAGCGTGAGAGAGAAAGAGAGAAGGAGAAGGAGAGGGAGAAGGAACTGGAGAGGCAGAAGGAGAGGGCACTGAGAGAGAAGGAGCTGCAGGCAGCCAAGGCCATGGAGAACCACTATCTTGCTGAGCTCCACTCGATGAGGGGACAAGAGGAACGAACCAAGCCTGAGAGACTAACGCCCAATCGGGCTGGTATGTGTCCATGCATCCCATGCAGCCTCCATAAGCCACAGCCATTATGCTTACAAACACACTTGACATCATTAACTGTTAAAATAGGAGGACTTGACTTGATACGGTTAATCTGCAACAACAATAACTGAATATCCTTGACTTGTGGAGCGCTGAGGTGAAGTGTCTCTGAAGCCGACCCAAAACCAGACCAACTGGATCTCTTCTGATAGTATTTAGATTTAAAATGATTTGACTGGTTTACAATTATTTCAAATCTTCTGCAGCCACCAATGGTTAATGATTGTGAACACGAGCATTTCACCTTGAGTTTGCAGGGATCATCCAGTTTGCTAATTTTAATGAGCCTTTTGTTTGAAGTGGTGACTGTTATTTTATTTTTCTTACATTTTTTTTATTCGTATAGACTTTACAGCCATTTTAAAGTGTGTTTTTGTTTAAAAAGTGTAAATTTCCAACTTTCTTTCATCGTAGATGGCCTCCTGAGCAGCCTCTGTTCAGAGAAATAGTGTTTACATCCTTCAGGACTGTTAAGCTAACGGCCAGTGTGAAAACAAACAAGTGTGATGTGCATTTCTGCCATTTTTGAAACTACTCCAATCTCCTAAAATTCAGTGATGCATGTCTTCAACATTTAATTCAAATAATAATAATGTAACTCCTACATAGGAACACACTTAAATATAGCTGAAAATAGACTAAAGTCGGTCTAGGTTGTAGTATTTAATTGCTGTTTTTTGTAAATGAATTAGTTAACTTTAAAAACAAACAAAGTTGAACTAGATGGTTTCCTTTTTTTATCGTATTAGCAAATTTGTTACTATAGTAACGGTGGCCACAGACCCAGAGAGGTTAGTCAAAATAGAATTTAAACCAATAAACACAAAAACATGTCAGAACAAATCCATGTGTCTAAATACTTTTTTTATTATCTACAGATAAAACCAAAGAGCCTGCCCTTCCAGCTCCCAAACCAGTTCCACCTGGAATCCACTCCTCAATGGTCTCGCCCCATCATCCTGTTCCTGGTCTAATCCCAGGCCACGGCCTCTACCTGGGGCCCGGCGCTGTAGCCATGGGGCTCCCAGCCTCGATTATTGCACAGAAGGCCAATGAGGAGGAGAGGTGGTTGGCGCGGCAACGCAAGCTGCGTCAAGAGAAAGAGGATCGTCAGTACCAGGTGTCTGAATTCCGCCAGCAGGTTCTGGAGCAGCATCTGGATATGGGCCGGCCCGCTGACGCACCAGATCACAGGACAGACTCACACAGGTGAGATGACTCTCCTGAAGCTAGATGTGATGGAGCCCAGCCAAGGAATTACACCACGGCTTCAACTGCATGCTGCAGCAAGATTTAATGTGATTCGATTCAGCAGTTGCTGAACCTTTTTTTGGCTTTTATCTGATGTAGATGTGTGGGCCTGGGTTTGTGACAGCAAAATGCACAAATGCTTTCAGTGCACACACATACACACATACACACACACACACACATGCGCGCGATTTGGCTGCCTCTGCAGACCTTAGAGGGACAGTTGTTGCTCTGCTTTGAAGCCTCAGAGGCTGACAGGCTTTAGAAGTTTGTTTCCAGACAAGACTAGAATAAAAAGAGATACAACTCCATCAGAAGCACCACATCTTCTCCATTTCTGTCTAAACTACCGTCCAGAAAAACAAAAAAGAGCAACAAAGTTTAGGTGTTGATTGAGGTTGTAAAAGCAGGATTCTGATGGTTGCTGCTCCACGAGTGGGAATTGGTAAGGATTTCAAACGGGCAGTGAGTGAGAGTACTCAGATACACAAAGGCTAATTCTCAGCTAATCCTCTCAACCATGCACAGCATAAGCCTCCTACCTACCGTCCACTGTTGTGGTGCCCGAGTTTGTCACTGTGCGGGATTCAGAAGTGAGGTTGTGGTTGATGATTGCAGGACAGCTTGCACGTGCACACACACACACACACACACGCACGCACGCACGCACGCACACACACACACACACACACACACACACACACACACACACACACATTCACACCCCTGCTATCAGTAACCCTACAGTATAATCACATAATCACAGCTCACAGGCTGCAGATTGCAGATAAGACACACTTTACACACACACACACACCACAAACAGGAGGCATGGATAATTTGACTGGTCATGCAGTGTGTACCACTGCCAGGTTTGATCTGGAAATATACTTCAGAAAGTGTCCATCAACCATCTGCCCTTATTTCCATCTTGCTGTTACATTTTTATTCCAGCACTGTTTTCATTTCTCTTTCCATCTTGTGTTTGTTTACACCATGCATAAAAACAAGATATTTTTTACCGTCTGTCTCCCTTTTCCCTCCTCTGGCATCCTGTCAGGTGGATGTTTCCACTGGCCTCCTCTTTACTAAACCTTTCTCCTCTGTGTGCATGTCTGTGGGTGCACACGTACCTCACTACAAAGGCCTAGCAGATCAAAAACCAGCTTCTGCACTGGGAGGAAAGTGTGTGTGCCTTGGCCACATCCTCTCTCTGCTGTGGGCTACTCTGTCTGCGATTGATAACATTACTGAACCACACACACCCACACACACACACACACTGAAATGGGTAAAAGGAAGTAGGGTTTTCTGTATCTCTTTCACATTTGTATTTAGAAAAATAATCTTGTTTTTAGAAATTAGAAACCTTGTCATTTGCAACTAAGGGATATGTATTTCCTGTTTGTTTCCACAGATCTGTACAAAACCACCACGAACCAGGAAGCAGAGAACATCACCCCCACTTAGGTGCCCCGCCCCCCCTCATCTCCCCCAAACCTCCACAGCCACCTCGTGAACACCACCCTCCACCTCCCACCACACTGTGGAACCCTGTCTCTCTCATAGAAACATCTTCTGAATCCAGACGGAGCCACGAGCCCTCAGGGATGGGCCACTATGAGCTCAGTCGGTTACCCCCAGGACCCTCCAAATATGAGGATATAACTCGAAGAAGAGACGTGGGAGCGATGGAGAAATATCCCCCTCTGAGAGGTCCTCCAGGGCTGCCTGAGCCCAGCACTTTTTTGGCAGATCTAGAGAAATCCACACAGACTCTCTTGAACCAGCAGAGGGCGTCACTGCCTCTGACAAGCCAGTATGAAATGGAAGGAAGCACCAAAATCAATGCTGGGCTGAAGAACCTCCAGGGACACCCGGGGCATGGGAGACATGGACACGGTCCTGGGATGGTTTCTGGGTTGGGGGTGGCGCAGGTTACCCCACTGGGGATGGTTCCAGACACGATGCTGATCTACGACGAGTTTCTGCAGCAGCACCGGAGGCCCGTCAGCAAGCTGGACCTGGAGGAGAAGAGGAGAAGGGAGGCCAGGGAGAATGGTACTCACCACAGGCTCATCATCACATCAGATAGCCTGGCAAGCTTGGGAAAAATAAAAAAAAAATTATTAATTTTTTTGGATTTTCCTGCAGGTTACTACTATGAGCTGGATGACTCGTATGATGAGAGTGATGAAGAGGAGGTGAGAGCCCATCTCAGGAGAGTATCAGAGCAGCCCCCACTGAAGCTGGATGACTCTACTGAGGTAAAATACAACCCAAAATGTTTTTTTTTAATAATCGGAAGTAAAAATCATTATAAGACATGAATCTAATTTTTTTTCCATCTCTGTAGAAATTAGACCTTTTCAAAGTGGTAGGCCTGACCACGGTGGGCCGGCGTGACGATCTGGTGCAGCAGAAGAGAAGAAAAAGGAGGAGACTGCTGAAGGAGCGCAGCCCTTCCCCTCCCGCCTCACAATCAAAACGCGCTCCCCCTCCTCCTCCTCCGCTCAGCACACGCTTCACTCCTGAGGAAATGGACCGAGCGCCAGAGCTGGAGGATAAGAAGCGATTCCTCACCATGTTTAGACTGTCTCATGTCACTATGCAGCAGAGGAAAGGTCAGTCTGCTCTAACAGCGTGGTAAACATCTGAGCGTCATCTGGTTTCCATGCAACACGCTCTCATAAAGATGCTGACTCAAGCCACAAAGGAAATCATAAAGGGGTCAGAAAATGATGTCAACCACATACTTTCAGACATTAAATGCGACACATATTAAGCCGAGCGCTCACAGTGCTTTGCGTTGCCCTAGTTAGGAGGGAGGGAGGCTGTTTGTATCAAACATTTGATGCATTGCGTTCCTCATTTGCTATTCTCAGTCCACCGTATTCATACTTTGGTTTGTAGCTGTAAATGAGGAAGATTTTATGTTAAACTGTGGTTTTATTTCCTCTTATAGACAATGAAAGGGTGGTGGAACTGCTTCAAGCCATTAAAGAGAAGAGTGTAACCTTGGATACCATCAGGCATGCACCTCATCCACTGTGTAAGAGCCCTCCAGCACATGCACATGGTAAGAAAAGCCAGAGAATAAACATTATTTTAGTGTTTTATTGATTGTTATCATTAGTCTGAGCAGAAGCTGTAAGTGCATTTCCAACAGCTGCAGTACAGTTGTAGTAGTGCGACTTCATCATTAGTAACATATGCTGTGATAAATGCAGATTCAGCGTTCAGCCAGCACTCTGAATCTGAGGACCACTATAACGTCAGACTACAGAGCCCCCCCTCTCATTGCCCAGCATCCCCCAACGGCCATTCAAAATCCCTCGGAGACACGTTAAGGCCAAAGGCACCCCCCTCTCCAGCTGTCTACCCAGCTAAGGCCCGGGGGCCCAGCGAGGGTCCCCACTCAAAGCGGAGCTCCAGCTTGCTCAACAGCTTGCGGCCCCCGCTCCCCCTGCAGGCTAAAGAGGGGCTGCACAGCATCAATGGACGCTCAAAACCCTGGGACAGTTTCACCCCGGAGGAATTTGCCCAGCAGTTTCACGAGTCTGTGCTTCAGTCCACTCAGAAGGCTCTGCAGAAACATAAAGGTAAGCAGGATGGCCGCGTAGGGAACTCCTCCTCCCCGTTACTAAACTTTTATAATTCCAGTAACGCCATGAAACGTATTGTTAAAACTTATTGTTTCTTAAAATATTGACCACAAATCTCCATCTTTGACACGTAGGGACAGCGGTAGGTGTGTCAGAGTCCTCCCACCTCCAGGAGTCCTCCGTCCACTACAACATCCCCGAGCTTCAGAGCGCACCCAGCCGGCCGCCGCATTCACAGCCTCACACGAACGCGCCTTCATTTCCTCACCCGCCATCACACTCCCACCCTCAGCCCAACGGGCAGCACTTTTCACTGCATCTGCACAAGGAGGCTGCAGTGATCAGGGAGGACGTCTCCGGTCCAGACAACTCTGAGGAGGAAGAAGAGGAGGAGGAAGAGGAGCCTCCTGTTTCCAAGTGGCAGGGAATTGAATCGATATTTGAAGCCTATCAAGATTATATTGAAGGTATAAAAAAAAACTTCCTCTGGCATTTATGTTTGGAATAACATCTTTACAAGCATCTTATTTTATAGTATTTAATGACTATATGTATTTTGATTCTTTAAAAGAAACAATTTGTAGTTTTGATTTTGATTTTGGGGTTTAATTAAATTCTTTTGTGGATTTTCATAAAATAGAAATATAAATAGTGCAAGAAAACTTTAGAGCTAAGCCAGTTAATAATCAAAAATAACATCCCCGAAAAAGAAAAGGCAAAGCTCTTGCTAGTGCAAGAGTTGTTGTGGCGTGCCTTCATTGCTAGGGGGCAGTATTTCTACCCTACTTCATTCAAACAACCAAACACTGACATATGAGCATGTTTGCCCCAAATCTGTTACTCAAACACACTTTTTACTGTTTTAACGCAGAGCAAAGTTTGGAGAGACAAGTGTTGCAGAGTCAGTGTCGAAGACTAGAAACTCAGAACTACAACCTCAGTCTGACTGCTGAGCAGCTGTCTCATAGCATGGGGGTAAGGAAAACACACGCCGCCTTACGCCAAGAGGCCCCAACACTGTAACGGGCTTCGACTTTGCTAAATCAGATTAAATTTCTTGTAAAATAAAATTTCTAATATTTAACCTTTTCTTTGTCCCACAGGAGCTGATGTCCCAAAGACAGAAGCTAGCAGTGGAAAGAGAGAAGCTACAAGCAGAACTGGAGCACTTCAGGAAGTGTTTGACACTGCCACAGACACACTGGCCAAGGGGCGGTCATTACAAAGGCTACCCTCCAAGGTGACCCCGCCACGGCGTTTTGATGACCCCCTGAACCCCCAAACACCTCCCTTCCAGACTTGAACCCAGAGTTTATTTTTCACAGCCTGGTCCTCGTGGCACCATACAGGAGAACGTGGCAGGCTAGCTAAGATTAGTGAGAAAATGAATAAATGGAGTGAATGAGTAGACAGGTGAATGCTCAGGGGAGGGAGAGGCATTCGGTGAAGGACAGTTAGGATTTGGATTGTGGCTTGCCAGGGACTGAACCGAAAACCACTGACGCGTGCCAATGTAGCCAACCTGCGAGCGGCGAGGCGGAACCTGAACATCCACGCAGACGCACCTGCTGCTTCCACTATCCAGCTCCTGCTGCTCTGTCGGTCGGTCCATCCCCGCACCCCTCGGCGCCACAGACAATCCTGCCAATGAAGGAGCCGCTTCCCCAGGAGGGGGTTTGTCACAAGACTTGAGAGCTCAACGCAAAGGCTTCCAGTCAGTTGGGACAGATTTTTTTTTTCCAGAGGCCACGTGAGCTTTTTGAACTGGAAATGCACTTAAGAATCAAAGCTGAAGAACTACCTGTTGGTACCGCGTTACAACAAAGAACTATTCACACTAGGGAAGAACTTAAGAAATGTACTTTTTTTTTTTTTGGAAAAGAATTAAGGAAATGTTTTATTTCAATAGAAATTTTTGAAAATAAGAATTTTAAAAGGTGCTTCAGCCTTGTATTGTAAATAATATGAAGACAAATGAATTTTGTATGTTTTTATTACTTTAATCATTGTTCTTTTAAGAAAAAAAAGCCTGCCATTTTTATATGTTTTTGCTTTTGAGGGGATTGCGAAAAGAGAAAAAAAAGCCTTGCTTTTAGTGTTTGTACTGCTGCTGGCCAGAAAAAAACTCATTTTGAGATGTTGGAACAGATTGAGTGAAAGCAGGAAGTGCTCCTGCTGTCATTCTGCGCCGAGACCTGGCCACAGCCACCTCATCCATCCCTCTGAGCTCAGCGAAGCTCACTCAGAGGGCCGCGAGACCCGGTGTCTTTCCGCTCACACCCCTCCCGTTTTCTTTCACAGCAACACGTCTTTATGTTAGAGACCCCTGCAACGCTTCACCGCTGCTAGCATGACACGTTAGCTTGTAATGTCCTTGTGCATAAAACCAGACCCACGTCCAGTTCAGATTGCTTTACCATTTGACCTTTACATTCTACATAGCCTTGAAGTCACAACATGCTTGCCTGAGATGCACCTTCCATTAAAGGACGTTGTGCCAAAAACAGCATTTTTTTTATCGCTGACCTTGACTTGAGTTGTAATTTGGCAGCCAAATATCCCCCACACCTAAAAAACAACATCTTACGCCCCTAAGCTGCAACATGTTTCCTAAAAATCACACTTAGAACCAGGAGTTGAATTTTACTTGTTCACATAGTCCGAGTTGTAACGGTTTGCTTGACCTTACACGTGTTCACAATCTGTGTCCTATAATTGGAGAAGTAGTATTATTTTTATGTTTCTGGTCTAAAGATGTTTGATCTCAGACCCCCTATGTTACAGATTTAACATCACTGGGATGTTTGTGTTGAGGGGTGAAGCCTTTCAATAAGCCCAACTACAAAAAAACGGTGTATACATTTTAAAATGTACTTAAAAGAAGTTAATTTATAGTAAAAGAAAGAAAACACTGAAGCACAACTATGCCACACTATATAAAAAGTGCCTCAATAATTTGGGAGCATGCGAATGAGTTTGTCCACGTCGAACATTCTCCACCCAACATTAGCGATCAGGGACTCCACATCAAAGTGTCTTTCAAATATGTGCAAGTCAAGAACTGACACTAAACTGATCTGAATGCATCTCTAAAAACGTTTTTTTTTTAAACAAAAGTTTCATTAATAACGTAAGCCTAAACCAGAGGACCACAGAGTGTAGCCTGTTACATTTACACAGCAGTGGAGAGAGAGGGCCAACGGTGCAGCCGGCCGGTAAACGAGGATGCATGCACGCTGAGGGAAGCTGCCAATGAGCTGTGGGAGGAAGGTGCAGTAAGACGATCCTCTTCCTCAGTCTCCAACCCACGCACGCCCATGCAATAGTCCTGTTACTCAGTGGAAGATGTCTAGATGCTGTGAAATCCTGTTTTTTAAAAAAATGTACTTGTTTAAATTCATTGTAATGTAATATATTCTTTGTTGAATGTAGTAATTAGGTATTTATGAATATATGGCTGTGATTTCAGACAAAAAAGAAAATAAAATACTTCAAAAATGTTAAACATTAACATTTGTGTATGCTTCATTGAACTGTCATAAAAAGCCCTTCCCAGAATGTTTTCTGCAGCAGAAATTCTCTCGACAAATCCTGATGCATTAGAAATACATTCATAAAGAAAAATAGAGAAATTATGGCAATTAAGAATGAGTATATTTATTTAGTTACATATTAAAAGCACAAACGATCAGCAATGGACTTAAATTACATTTGCATTTATCACAAACTGCAAGCAATAAAATAAAGATCTTCATCAAAAGAGGTAAAATCCCTCATTACTGGTTAAACTGGGTTCTAGGATGTTCCATCCAGTGGTGCAGGGCCTGGTTGGTAAGAACGCACTACTGTTTAATGGCATGAGCTCCGTCTGAAGACTCAAAGCGGCTACGAAGGCGTGGATGTTTTGGATTAGTAGTCCGTGAGCTGGCCCTTGCTGGACCCAGGCTGCAGGTTGGAGCGCAGCTTGAACATGAAGTTCAGAGAATCGAGAAGGAACTCCCGTGTGGTGTTGATCTCCATCAGGGTGAGGTTGTCCAGCTGCAGAGGGAAGGATGCAGAATGAGGCATGAGGAAGAAGAGGTGCTGTTCTGACAGATGACATCTACAAGTTATATATATACGTGTGTGTGTGTGTGTGTAGCTTTTGGTAAATTGAGTGCTTTAAGAGCTCAATATATATATTACCTCTACTTATGACCAATAAGCTGTGATACTATTTAAATATAAAATATCAACCCTGTTTGGTCTTTATTGTATTTATCAGAAGATTCTATGATTTTTGCTTTATTAAGTAATTGTACACACTTTGTTTTGAATCAGAAAAGAGTCAGGTTTATAAAAGTAAAAATTTATTTTATAAACAATTAAAACATGACTAGTTAACTAAGCATTTGCTGTGAGTGGACGGAACTAAATGTGATAGCTTCTACCACTGCTATGCAGACGACACCCAGCTCTATCTGTCATTTCCACCGGACGACCACACTGTCTCTGCAGGAGTATGAAACTGTCTCTCTGACATATCAAAATGGATGAAATCCACCATCTCCAACTCAACCTCTCTAAAGCTGAACTACTTGTCATCCCAGCAAAACCATCCACACAGCACAATATCTCAATCCAAAATGACTTCCTATCTCTGGCTCCTTCAAAGGCAGTTCGAAATCTGGGTGTTGTGATTGATGAACACCTGACCTTTAAAGATCATGTTGCCTCTGTTGCTCGTTCATGCCGCTTTGCGCTGTATATTAGTACAGTATCCCGGTTGCCTTCGTCATGGACTCCAGAACGCTTGCTTTGGCTTCCTTGTAGAGGAGGGGGACTTCTTTTTCTGTGAAGTGTATTCGGTGAGGAAGTTTATAGCGCGGCTCCATGGTGCGCACCACTAACCGAAACCCCCTGTTGTTCACTACTGAATACTGGCGTAGATCCGTCGCGATAAAAGTAGCTATTGCTTTTGTAATGCTCCTCGCCTTCTCCGAGTTCTTCGGTAGTTTGGAGACAGTCTTCAGGATGGAGAAAGAGGTCAAAGAGGTAGTGCCACTCACTAAACAGTCCGGGCGGTGAACGTTAAGGCTCCAGTTACGTGTTTTTATTTTTTTAGTACCGGCTTTGCAACAAAACGTTGATGTTATGTTTTTTTAAGCATCAACGTTCATTAATCGATGCCGAAACAACAGTAAAGCTTTTAGATGCATCGCCACATCGATTAATTGCACCCACCCCTAACATACGAAAGATCAGACCATACCTAACACAACATGCCACCCAGCTCCTGTTGCAATCTACTGTCATCTCCCGCCTCGATTACTGCAATGCCCTTCTAACTGGTCTTCCAGGCTGTACTGTCAGACCTCTTCAAATGGTCCAGAACGCAGCGGCGCGTCTGGTCTTCAATCAGCCAAAAAGAGCACACGTCACCCCTCTGTTCATTGAGCTCCACTGGCTACCGCTAGCAGCACGCATCAAATTCAAATTGCTAACACTAGCATACAAAGTCTGAGATGGTACGGCTCCCATCTACCTGAATCCTCTTGCTAAGGCTTACGTCTCGGCCCAGCCGCTCCGGTCATCACAGGATTGTCGGCTAGCAGTGTCTAAACCACGCTCAGGACAATCCAGACTCTTCTCATGCATCGTTCCACAAATGTGGAATGACCTTCCAAGCACTACCAGAGCAGGTGCTTCCTTTTCAATTTTCAAGAAACTCCTGAAGACCCTGCTCTTCAGAGAGCATCTTCTAAACTAGCACCTTGCCTGCACCCGTCCCCCCTCTCTACTGTCCACTCCTTGTTCCCTCCTCTCCATGATTGATGTCAAGTTGTTGTTGTTATTGTTGTTGTTAGCCTCAAGAGCAACATGCCGATTATCACTTGTAAGTCGTTTTGGACAAACGTGTCTGCTAAATACGTAAACATAACCTATGTATCAATGTGGTGTTAGAACCTCCTTATCTAGAAGAGCTGAGTCTGGATGTAAAAGAATTTGGTTTGCGCTACGCTATGAAGTTGCTATCATCAGAAGCACATCAGACGCAATCTTCACTGTGTTCTACCTCACCCTTTTGGAGACCCTTGTCGTGGATCCGGAGGTCAGAGAGGTCAGATGACCTCGGGGCACCCAGGTCCAGTGGATTGACAAGTACCGACTTCCCCAGTACCGAGATGTCACCAGGCACACAGGCTGGACTAGCTTGCGTCTCAGGAGTAACTCTTAGGGAGTTGAACAATATCAGCTTTGTTCTGCAGGGACTGTTGTTCATCAGCTTCACAGGTGCACAAAGGTTTTGACGATGTGTCAAAATCTTTGACAGGGTGCACAGCCAATCAAAGGCTGACAGGCTTGAGAGATGTTACCAAGACGACTCAGAAACACGCCTTCTTTGACCGGACGTTCTGACTGGGTAAAAGACTATTTATGTGTCAGAGTTTAACGTAACCGTACTCGTTATTGTGTGAGTGCAGATGTTATGACCTCGCCATATAAACAAGCGGAACCACATTGCAATCATTGTAGACACAATATTCATTTCACAATTCAATCATTGAGCACAGATTAATGGAACATTTCATTATAATATATTTATTATAAGTGGCAATAAACAAATGTTTATTTAATGATTATCTAGATTATTAGTTGTGGAATAGTTCATATTGACTTAGGAAATCATTCTTGGTTTAGCCACTGATCCGAGCTGGAGTGTTTTTGTGGAGGCCTTGGGGAAAGAAAGTTTATGTTTATTCATTTGGCAGATGCTTTTATCCAAAGCAACTTAAATTTATAACCTATAGGGCATGTTGTGATCTGTAGGGGAAACCAGAGTACCCGGAGGAAACCCACGCATGCATGGGGAGAACACGCAACTCCACGCAGAAAGACCGCAGCCGAGTTTCATCTTGAGCATTTTTAATTCAGAGAGCCATTTGGGATTAATAAGACCTCATAAACATAGATAATAACTATACTGTCTTTTACGACAGGAAAATAGGAATAATCCTAAACATTGTTTTGAGCTGATCAGTTTCTATGATGACCGGTAATCCTGCAAAGAAGAAAAACATCAAGATCCCCAGATGTTTAATTTACTAAATTATTCCACTGAATCACATGATTACAGCATCAAAAAAGTGCAACAATAAAATAATTGTGTTTTAATTCACGGTTTCTCTTGTAAAAAAACAAAACAGACATGCTCAAGTGATTTTGTTGTTGTTGTGGGACATTTAATAAAATGTTATTTGAAATAATTCAACAAGAAAAATCTAAAAAAGAAGTTTCCAGATGTGATCTGAATTAAACCGGTGTATAACTACAATATAATCCTTAAAAGTCTGCATTACCTGGGCGTGAGCCTCCTGCTGATTGATGAAGCTGTCGGCGGACAGGCGTAGCTTGGCAATCCGAGTGTCCCAGATGTCTTTGACCAGTGTTCGGATTTCATCTGCTTTAGGAATGTTGTCAGAAGCACTACAGCAACACACACACACACACACACACACAAAACCATCAGCAGAGAGCACAACAGGATGGAAAGCTTAACGTTTGCATTAGTGACTTACTGGTTCAGTAGGAGTTTGGTGATCTCCATGTAGTACAGACTGGGAACGGGAGTGAAGGCATCTTCCTTTCTCTCCAGCGCTCGCATCTCTTCCAGTTTCTCTGTTGGAGCAAATCATTTAAAATCAGTATCATGTTTTTAGCTAATTATTTGCTAGGAACTGTTGATGAGATTATAAACCAATCTTGTGTTTAAATTCAAACTTTTAAGAGAAGTTAGAATTTACTAAATGCAAAAATAGAGAAGATAGTTCCACGTGTGAGTGAAGAGCACTCTTCTTTTAAAGGGGCAATGGACTGCTTTTATATCTGATTTTTTTTAAATAGAAATATATAATAATTGCAACAATTATTATTGTTCTTATTTGAATCCGGGATTAAACCAGGAATAAAAAACTAACTCAACAGAGGACAGAAATAAGTGTTGTGTCCAGAAATCTAATTTTAAAAGTAGGAAAGTAGATATTGAGATACGAAATGTTCAAAAACAGTTGTAAAAGTTGATTGATTGATTGATTTTTATTTGCATAGATAAAGTAATTTCAGAATAAACTAATACAAGTAAGTATCACAATATGGCTTGAAAACATTAAATATACAGGGTAGCACAAAAAGTGTGACCCTAAAAACAGATAACCACAGTTTTAAAACATAACAATAAAAAGTATCCAAAACTGTTGAGAAATTGTGCCGTACACGCCAGAGCCCTTTAGGGGTTCTCAAACTGAGCCTTGTGACACTTTTACTGAAGTTAGTTTTCTGGAAACCTCTTTTTAATAAGAGGGATCGCGATGTTTAACCAGGGTGCCAAACTAAACAAAGAATCATTACCAACATCCATCCAGTCAGGAGGCAGAATCCTACATTTCTGTCGCTGCTTCAGGTTCAGAGCCAGCCACAGAGGAACATCCACGGACAGGCCGGGGTTAAAGGGTCCCAAGTCTCCCTGCGGACAGAAGTAAGGCTGTTCACGCGCCTCAGTAGTGACTTTAAATGTGTATTAACTCGAGATTAGCTTAATCTGCGCAATTTCTCTCAGACTTACCCCGATTAAAAAGATCTTGTCCAGGCTGAAATTGGGAATTATTTTGACTAACTCTTTCTCGGCTAAGAATTCAACTTCGGAAGGATCCATGACTTTGTTTTTGTTCGCTGAAGCCGACAATTCCCGCGCTGAAAATGTACGAAGCAAAATGCCAGGATTGGTCAGCTACGTCATCAAAAGAAAGTACCGTAGAGTAAAACCTGAAGTGCTACGAGTAATTTTATTTGTAGCGATTGTATTCGTTCTTTCAATTCATTGCATCAAAATAATGAGAACAGTGTGCTTCTGGCGTCAAAATCGTGAAGCTCCTGGCTCAACCTGACTATGACGGCAGCGATGGAACCTTGAATTTTAGTCCGGGCACTTCCGGAATGACAACTTCCGTATGAACTGCAGCTATAGCAGACTACCACCACTAGGCGGCAACTGTGAGCTACAACGGTTAAACCATACTTATTCTTCCATTTCTTTATTCAACCTTTATAGATCATGTAAGGCAAATATGTAATTCATCTTAAATGACATTCAAACAGGGAATTAAAAATATTAATAATAATAGAATTATTGGAAGTTTTCATTATTCATATATAAACCCGTAACCATTATCTTTAATACAATTTAGGGATTTTAGACACTTGTAATTTAAAAAAAAATTAAAGTTGGGGTAATTTAAATATTCTTTGCTTATGTTTGAACATTTTGGCAAACAGAGGACCAAGTTATAACTATCTTGTTCCAATAGTAACAGTTGTCTCCTTAAATAGAAATATTTTTATTTGAAATTATATCCAGCCAGGATTAATGATTGACCTGCAGTAAATGACCCGTTGTCTCAAGTATTATCATCAATGTTTAAGCATTTTCTCAGCAATTCCTTAGAAGGATAAACGGCATTCAAACATTTTGTCAATTAGACTTTTGGTTGACTAGGAAGTTAGAGCTCAAATATACTTAGTTTATTGATACATTTAAAGTATGTTGTTCTTGTTCATTTTACAGGGGGATAGGTGTTCAGGAAGACAGTGTCTAGTAAATTGGTTTGTGCTTTTTCTATCAATGAGGGATATTCCCTGGATAGAAACTGGGCTTTACTGCCGGTTTATTGGTGTTCAATAATGTTTTTGGTTTTGAAAAGTAATTATTTTGGTAATTCTCTCAGCAATGTTGTGAAATCTGATTTAGGATGACTGAATTTACGTTTTAAACAGAAGTTATTATATATAAGCAGTTCACTGTTCCTCCTCGTACGTATATTAGTTGAATGAAAACGGATTTATTGAAGAGCATCTTTGGGATTTTGGCGTCCTCAAGTGGCGAGAAGCGTGAACTACACTTGTTCTGTTAAACCATCAAAGTTTTAGCTTCATTTCAGTGATGTTGAAAATAAATCCGTCTTTGTTTCTGTCCTTTGAGAATATTAATATGATGGCGGAATAGAAAACGGAACAAAATAATTAAAGTTACAAAATAGTGGAAACACTTCCTGCAAATTATTTCAAAATAAAACGCTACAGCATTTTGGTGTTGGCAACAGAGGAACTCACTCGAACAGTCTTGTTCTCTTATCTAAAAACACTGTTAAAACTGCATTTTTGTAACGATGTTGAACAGAATGTTGTGTGGCGCAAAGCACAAGTCCCTACGGCGACTTTTTTCAGCTTTGTTGAGATGAGGCTGAAATGTTCTCTTCCAGTGTAGTTCTAGCTTGTCGCCACTGGAGGGCAACATTTCCCCTCCTCTTTGACACCAACCAGTTTGCAGCGCTGTGAGTGTGTGTAGCACGACAGTGTGTAGTTCAGATAGATGAACTATTTATTTAGCTTAAGAAATTGGAAATGTGGCATGAGAGCTGTAAAAACAGTCAAATACGGGTTTCTCACGCTTGTTGCTTAAGAGTTGGCAGTGAGACAGATTTAAGAGTACAACCAATACAAGACTTCTCTCTAGATGTTTGCACTATCAAGTCTTTATTTTAATGTCACATTCTTGAACAAGGATAAAACTTTATCACAAACTGACATAAAATGTCGCATTAGTCCTCGTTCTACCAGTTATCTGTACCACATGACCTTCACACACAAGCTGCTGATACATAAACAAATGAACACAACTCTTAAAAAAGCACATTAATCCAAAACTACCATCAGTGAGCTACAGCTCTGGAGTCACTGTAATTATTTCCCAACCCTCTTAAAATGCCAAACCCATCAAATTAAAGACAAATGTTTTACACACAATGAAGGAATTTGATCAGAACTTCATTTCCCATTCAATCAACGAAACTTGTGTTCAAAACTTCCACCAGGTGAAAAGGGATTTCGAGGTTCTGTCTCATAGACCGTAACCGTCAACATATAAACATAACCGTAACGTAATTATTCAAATGTAAATGCAAAACTAAATTATCAGACTTCATTGACCAGAGAAGACTTAAGAATAAACCATCCAGAACAATGGGCAGCATGGCAATGACAATAAGTAATCACATATTTGAAAAGCATTGGCATTAATATTTTAAAGTCCCATTTTTAATTCAAGCGTCTCTTTTTAATGCAACTAAAACCTCAAGTCACCCAACACCAGCAGAAGAACTTCAGTTCTTGTGTGTGATCTCAGCGTTGTTATGATAGCTACATTTCTGCAGCTTCAGACCAATGTGTTAATTTTATTTAACCAAATTTTAATCATGTAAAACTCTTCATGTCTAGTTGATTTAAATTTGAGTTATATAGATCTATTACTCTAGAATCTAACGGAAAAACAAATTTATCATTTAGGCTTAGCACCTTCATCGCCTATAAATCGCCCGGTAAAGATGAACACAGGCCACTGGTGCACATGTGGCGCCTGAACGTGGGAGAATTTTGGCCCGCGTGATCGCTCGTCTGCATGTTTCTTCAGCGAAGACACTTTGAAGACTATGTGCTACCTGGTATGTAGCATCATGCAGACTAAAATGGCAGCGACATTTGAGGGTGCGCCATGTTGCTCTGAAGACTTCCAAGTCTCAACAAAGATCCAGGACAGATTTGTTAATGACGGGGTTGGTCCAGTCATTTCTTAAGTCATCCAAGTGATTGTCAAAGTCAATCAAGTTCTCGTAAGACCTGCCCACCAGCAGAGCAGAGGTGATCTTCTGTGCTTCGCTCCAGTCCTCAAAAGAACCCCTAGGAGATAAAAACACAAATAGATCCATTAGTTCATCATCTCTTTATTTAGTTTGCTTTAAACTTTGTAAGTTAATGGTCAAACATTTAGTTTATATGCAGAAGACATCAGCTTTCCACTGGGTACGTAAGCCTGCAAGCTCCTCTCCCACCATGAGCGTTTCAGATGCAGAACGGCAGAGAAAGTGTTCCATGCAGCTTGCATGGCGCGACTCCTGCAGTGCGCTCAATAACAAGCGGGGTTCTTTATTTTGTGTTCACCTCAGCTACGGAGGTTTCACAGGTATTGATGCACTTTTTTTTTTAATTAAGTAAAGCTTCACATGACTTTTATTTTGAAAGTTTCTGAATGTTTTAGTATGGCCCGATTCAAACTGCAGAGCTTGACGTGTTCTGGAAATGTAGCAGGTGAAAAATTGAATCGAAGTGTACATTTCGCAGAATGACACGTCCAAAACGCTTGCACGTCCAGTGGGAATGCGCAATCAGACGCGTACATTGTTACTTCTCTGTTTCTCCACTTGTTTTCATGATGATCATAAATGACCACAATGGGCTCAGAACAGCTCACTGTTAATCTGCTGTTGTCCACCTGCAGAATCAAAACAAATAAAATCACACATCCGTATCAGGAAACAGGAAAGGTATGGATATTTTTGCATTATTTGCAGAAATATGTCTAATACACAAATGGTTCTTTTGTTCCAGGACAGTCAACATTTGTACGACTTTTCAAGCAGCGGATCTCTAGATTCTGATTGATTAATGTGTTGTACAATAATTACAAGTCTTATTTAAATAACTTTACCATAACAATGGCAGCTTCGCTGAAGTTCTCGGTGATCCTAGCAGCCACTTTTTCTGCAACTTGGTTTGGTCTAAAGAGATTAGCACAAATGAAACAGTGAAGGGGCTAATGTGAGGTATTTGTGGGAATGGTTTGTTAAAGAACAAAAGACAGAAGAAACTGTTTGTACTTTGAATCCTTTTTCCGTTCATTGGCTTGATAATATCCAGCAATGATATAATTGTTTTCTTTACACCAAGTGTCGATCTGAGAATAAAAACAAACAGGTCAACATGTAAAACAAGAGGGCAACGGCAGTCACAATAAGTAGACTTCTGCGAAAGGGAAATATTTTCCACTGAAATTTAAATCTATTGAAGTGTATCTAAGAATTACCATCGCCGCATATTTTCAGTGCCTGAAAAGACGGCTCACAAAATGTTTTGTTGTACTTAAAAAAACAAACTATGTTTGACCTTAATATTAATTTTAGTGGCATAGTTTCATTTTTGTTTATGACAAAACATAACATCAGTCTAGTACATAAAGTCTTTAATAGTTCCCCTTTCTTGCAGGGCTAAAAAAACCTACAGATGTGTGAGAACCACATTTAACATTCATTACACATGAAATCAATCAGCAAAGTGAGCTTTAAAGTTTTTAAATGAATGGTTTCTGGGTAGAAAAGTACTGATCGTCATAACTTCTGCATTTGATCTGGAAACATTTTTAGTTGTTCTGCCTTTCTCAAAACAACCAGAAATAACTGTAAATGTGTCTTTTTGTTTTAAAGCTTACACGACTTCTCAGTTAGTTTACAATTTTCCGTTGATCCAATCAATAACATTAGCCATGTTGGAAAATGCATGGTGAGTAGGGCGGATCAATTTACAAACACCTGTCAGAGAAAGTCAGAGCCTTTCAACAAACTAATGAAAGAGACTGATTCAACTAAGTTCAAACAATGCACGTTTAAACAAATTATCAACTAAAGAAAACAAAAAGGTAGCGTTTACTTCACAAATACTAACCAGCGTCAAAGCTACTTCTAGCATTGGTGCCAGAGCGAGAGTACCGTGAAACAGCGGAACGCAGTCCACACACAAAACTGGAACTCCGTGGCCGTCTTTCTTCTTCTCCTTCGATTTTTCTGCTATTAGCAATCCATTCACGGCACAGTGCGGATATTTGGCAGTATGTAAAAGCATTTTGCAATACGCCTGACTTGTCAGTTGAATAGGCATGTTGTTTAGGATGAGGCAGGTCCTGACAAAGTAGGGGAGTTGCTAGTTACACGATAAAATAGAGCTTCTGCCACCGTTAGCTAGCCTTACTTCTCATGCCCGAAGAAAAGTATACATTTACCACTACAGTCTCAGAATATGTGGTCTGAGGAACAACATTTCACACGCCGAATTTACCGATACTGTTATAGGAATTACAACTGCCGTCTTTTTGTTAAACTAATAACTCGTGTCCGGATAAAAGAGCTAATCGTTCATCCACCTTCCACTCTTTAGTACCACCGGAATTAACGTAAAACTCGATTGGTTCCGCGCACTTTACGTACTTCTAGTTTACGTACGTGACGTGTATCCGTTCAGAGAGATCCACTTCCAACGCGGAGGAAGGGAGACGCTGCAGGTCGTATGCGTTTTTAGCAACTATATCGTTTGAACATTACAAACACTGTTACACAAGTCACTTTTAAATTAAATTGTAATACTATTAATGCTGTGACTCGAACTACACTGCAAAATAACAGGAATAGACAGTTTCACACGGTCACTGTGTCAGAGCGGATCGGAGCTAGGAAGAGCTAACTTCTCGGCTAGCTACCGTTAGCAATAAAAATGAAATATGTAATATGTGTTTATACTGATTTCACAAAGCCTTGGGTATTTCGCCATGAATTAATTTTATTAATCTGTGTGAAACTAAAACAATAGTGAAAGTTTGCGTTTAAGAAGCAGAAGTGTTTCATAGACATTTCACCGGGCGCTGTGACCTTGTGTTTGTAGCTAATGCTAACATTAGCGTAGTCTCATAGGTAAACGTGAATCTTTGGATTGTTTGCACATCTCCAACAACATGACTACATGACTTTAGCAAAAGGTGTTTTATATGCGTCACTGTTAACATAATGTTTGGCGCCTACCTCACCTTTTAAGAATTACTGAATAAAATATGGTCACAGAACACACATTTTATGTGTTGCACACCATCAGTGTGTGTGTGAATGGATGAATGATACACTGTAGTGTAAAGCGCTTTGGAGTCCTTACTCTGAGAGGCGCTATACAAGTGCGGGCCATTTATTGTGTTTACTAATGCGAAACGTGTTTTACTATTTACAGCTTCTACGTTTATTTCTATACTTTGGTATCAACATGGTTTTTATAGACTGTATGGTAAGTGTTTGATTTATTTCATATATTAAAGTTTTTAATTTTATCTACAGGATGCTGACAACAAGAGCCCTTACCCTTATTGGCAAACGTGCCATTTCTACATCTGTCTGCTTACGTGGAGGACATGGTATGTCAAATAGGCATAAACAGCTGCAGGTTTTTCTACAGTCTAAATGTTAACAAGTAATGTTCAAATTAAGTCTACTTCAGTATATGCTGAGTGAAGAAGCTTTTCTAAAATAAATAGGAAAATGATGCACACCATTATGCATGGTATAGATTTGTTCTCCCCAGCTCCAATACACTTGATTCAGAGAAATAAATGGTCTAAACGTAGTTTAATAAAGTAGCAGAAGCTTTGCAGTAGACTATCAATTTCAACCAGGTGGGAAAAGCAAGAAATGGTAAACACGGAAACTGTTGTAGGATGTAGTTTTTATTTTTTTTAATAATTGACACACCTCATATCACATCCACAGGTTGAAATAATTGTCACATTATAGCTGAATGGTTCTTTGTTTTACAAGTTGAGCCAGTGAGGGTTACAGGAGGACAGGTTACACAGTGTTTTCCCTGCCACATTTTGTCACGATAATTAAAGCTTTTTTTCCTTAGTATTTCTCTTATCCAATGGCACCATCTAGTGGCTGACAAGCGTATCACACAAAACCGCTGTTCCTCTGTTTTTTTAAGATGGCTACTTCACATTTCTGTTTATAAATGTGCTTCTGTAGCCGACAAACCGAGCTAAAACATGCTGTTTTAAGAGTATTCTCATGTCATGTTGTACTTTCATATATTTATATTTTAGAGATTTACTTGTCTGTGAAAAGTTCATCAACTCTGCATCAGCCGAGGTATTCCTTAAATGTGAAGCGTCTAAGTGGTAGTCTAACGCTATTGGTTAGTTCTGGTCAGTTTCCTATTGCACGGAGCTCTGCCGGGCAGGGGGCGTGCTTAGCAAAAAATAAATAAAATAGATGTATTGCTTATATTATATCACAGTACTAGGGCTGGGGGTAAACGATTATTTTTAAAACGATTATTCTGACGATTATTTTATCGAATAGTCGACTATTCTAATGGCTATTTAGAAAATTAATCTAATGATTATTTTTCTATTGCACAATTAACAAAAAACATAAAATCTCAAATAAATTCCTCAAAAAAATTGATAAATTCTTACTGTAAGAGAATAAACACTACAGGCCTTCCATTTTGTATAACACTGCTTTTATTGTGTTGTGGTTGGTTATGTTCTGGTGACGTGTAGAACTTGGGAGTGCAGGCTGCTGCCTGAGAGGTGGTAGAAGATGGAGTGTCTCCATGCTGCTTTGTTTTGGTCACTTATGTGCGTGAGGCGAGTGGTGTTACGGGTTAAACCAAACTCAGGTGATATTTTACACTAAACCGAAAACCCACAACACTCTAAATGTAATAAAAGGGAGATCTACACCACAAAAAAGATGAACTCTAAACCAAAACGTAACAGCTTATCCCAACGCAAGAAGCTGTTAGCGAAGATGCTAACAGTAGCTTTACCAACATTAAGTTCAAGTTACCAAGTTTAAATAAACCAAAAACACCCAGCAGCAAACAGACCAGCACGGAGGAGAGACTGCTACCACCAAAACAGCTCTCATGTCTGAAAGAAGCTCCTTAATGAAGGGAGAAGCGCTCCCGGTGATTTTCTACATCTGCGATAGACACGAAGCAGCGCATCTGACCCCGGAAGTTGTTGTCCGTTGCCGGGAGACGAAGGGGCAAAACAGGAAAATAATCTAGTAGTGGACGGACGTTGTTCCGGGTCTTCGGTATTTGGCGGAGATGTTAGTGAAGGCGGAGAAGAGGGCGAACTAGAGGAAAAACAGGCAGATTCCTCCTCTATTTACAAACTCCTGGGGATGCAACAAGTGGGCGCGGTGCGTCGACTACCGGTGTCGGTACAAGATCTGCTCGGGTGCAAGATCGGCTCGGTCCGTCGACTGATGATGACGTCTAAGTAGTTGATTGGCTGAACATGACCTTACGGAATTACGTAATCACGTAACGTTGTTATCACGTGACGTTGGTCCAGGCAAATTTTTTTCTATTGGAAAGATGGACAACTTTTACAAAGAAATCCATCATTACCTCTTTGAAAATACACTTTTAGCATAGAGCTGCAAGTATAATAGGGCTGAACGATTAACTGCATGTGCAATGAAATTGCGATGTGACAAAAGAAGATTTTCTAATGGCAAAGGCTGCAATTTGGCAGCGAGTGGTTAGCGCAATGCTAATATACATGGAAAAACCCATAGGAATGCTAATGCTAATATCGCAGATTACATTATTACAAATTATGAATTAGAAACGTGCCAAATAATTACATTTGGAGTCTAATAGAAAGTAAAAATACCATCAATCAAATAAGTACAGACAGGTATTTTAGTAAAGCCAGGAGATTTTCTAATCTCAAAGGCTGCAATTTGGCAGCGAGTGGTTAGCGCAATGCTAATATACATGGAAAAACCCATAGGAATGCTAATGCTAATATCGCCGATTACATTATTGCAAATAATGAATTACAAACGTGCCAAATGATTACATTTGGAGTCTAATAGAAAGTAAAAATACCATCAATCAAATAAGTACAGACAGGTTTTTTAGTAAAGCCAGAAAACTTTTAACTCCAGAGTTTTGGCTAGCAGCTACAGTCTATGACAAGATGTCAAAAACTCTAAACACAAAATACTTAAATAAACGGGACACACTTCTTTCCTGCAAATTTCACAGGTGTTGCTAATACCTATGATTCTTCAAGGGATGTGCTCAAAGAGGAGTTCAACATTATGAATAAGATATAGTGTTTTATTTTACAAATACCATTATAAACACAAACTTACATCTTAAGAAACGTTATTTTAATAACGAAAGTGCTAAATTCTTTCCAACAGTATAGACGTGTAGTGTATTTTGTCCGAGTCGGTTTGCCGTACTTTGACGTCATCGGCAGTCGAAGGACCCCGAGCCGATCTTGCACCCGAGCAGATACTGTACCGACACCGGATCTGACGTCGACAAATTTTTAGAATCGAGCCGTCGACTTCGTCGAGGCTTCGCTACAGCCCTACACAGTACATGACAAGATAACCACTTTTACGGATTTCTGACAAATCATACATAATTTCTGAAAGAGGAAAACTCCGGAAAGCAGCTTTAAAACTTGGTACTGTCACTGCCATTCCAGTGTTTGTCTTGTAATGCTTACAGTTTACCAAAGAACAAAAACGGAGACATTTCCTAGGTTGCACAGATGTGCCTATATTAAAAAATAATTCCCAACATTAAAAAATATATATTTTAAATGGTAGCATTCTGAAGCTCTGTAATAAATAAATGAAGATCACATGTGAAGAATTCGATAAACTTTAATTATAACTGATGCTTACGAAGCTAATATTAAGTGACTAAAGCATGTATGTAAAGTATTTTTTACTGTATACAATAGTAATTCACTATATTCAGATTTAGTTGAAAATAACACTAAGTAGTAAACTGGCATGCTATTTTTTTTTAGTTCAAATTGTACCAGAAAATAAAACAAACAGCTTTGTCCAAGTTGGTTTCAACATTTGAACAAGAAAACCTGTTAATCAGACAATAAAGGTCAAGTTCACTAAAAACCCATATTTTTTTTTACTTATGATCTTTTTTTTACTTATGATCAATTAAATTCAAGTTTATTTATTCAGCGCCAAATCACAACAAGAGTCGTCTCAAGGCACTTCACACAGTAAACATTCCAGTACAGTTCAGTTCATTAAGCCAATCAGTAAAACGTTTCCTATATAAAGAACCCAGCAAATTGCATCAAGTCTCTGACTAGTGTCAGTGTCTTTACAGCAGTCCTCATACTAAGCAAGCATGTAGCGACAGTAGAGAGGAAAACTCCCTTTTAACAGGAAGAAACCTCCAGAGAATCCTGGTTCAGTATGAGCAGCCATCCGCCATGACTCAATGGGGATCGGTCCCTCTTGATTTTAACATGTAGGCTAATAGTGAAATATAGTGTTCTACCCCCATTTCCTGCAATGGCCTCTGAAAATAGACGGGGAAATGCTTGGATTAGAAAAGCCAGTGACATTTGCATGTCATTAATTAGCATGCATCGACTCACCCATCTTGGCTCACAATGGCGAAGGCTGAGTCCAGGCTAGCGGAAGCAAACCATTAGCATTAGCAATACAGCAAAACTCCTTCAGGCTTGTTATTTTATGGAGATAAAACATCAGCGTTGCAGAGCAAACAGTGAGTGGTAGAGTTGTGTTGATGGTAGCTGATCAGAGACAAGATGTCCAAACATTAGGAAATAAGACTCAAAACCTGTCGTCAGAAGCTCACTTCTCCTGGCTCACTTATAGTTCCTGAAACAGGAGCGCCAGTAATCTTTTTCCCCCCAGATTGACTCGCAAGGCACTTACACTAGAGATCACTACAAAGGTGTTGGAACAAAACAAGTGAACTTGTTTCTTCATATTCGGATGTCATCTGCGGTCAAATGCTTGCACTTCCTCCTTTAATCAGAGTCTTTCTAATGTAAGTGTCAAAAGGAGACATTCAATGTCAGACTCACTTTAGCAGTTGTTATCTTCATCAGGTGTTGCTAAGGTGGAGGACTACACTCTCCCTTCCTACTTCGACAGGCGGGAGATCCCTCTCCCTGACATTGCTTATGTGCAGAGCCTGACTCCTGAGCAGAAGTCCCTGAAGGAGAAGGAGAAAGGCTCCTGGGTTGCACTCTCCAATGACGAGAAGGTTGCATGTAAGGTTATGTCTTTGTTGGTTTAACTTTTTCGTTTAAACACTTGAGAAAGCCTTTGTTTTTAGACTTGTTTTCTGTGTGTAGTGTATCGCATCAGCTTTAAAGAGAGCTTTGCTGAGATGAACCAGGGTTCAGCAGAGTGGAAGACTGTGGTTGGAGGCATTATGTTCTTCATTGGTTTTACTGGCCTGCTCGTTCTTTGGCAGAGACATTATGGTAAATATAAACTTGTGTTCTCTTACTCAGCCATCTACTCTCATAAAAAACCAAATTGCTAGTTTTATTTTAGTGTCAGTGTTCACTGACTTGTAAATACTTTCTCTGTGCAGTATACGGGCCCGTCCCACACACCTTTGATCAAGAATGGAAGGAGAAGGAGCTGCAACGAATGCTGGACATGAGAATGAACCCAGTTGAGGGCCTCTCATCCAAGTGGGACTACGAGAATAAGCAGTGGAAAAAGTAATGGGACCACAGAGCCATGACACTTGATTGAGGCAGAGCCATCTCAAAGATATCAGAATACCTTGATTCAGAATTTTGTTTGTTCATACCTGCAATCTGTGTATTTTGGAAGAGCCCTTCCTCCTAAGGTCCACGTGTATAGCAGAATAAACCTCGTCAAACCAATCAGACGTCTTCTGTTTTGCTTTTGGAGATGCACAGAAAGGGTGAAGTAAAAAGATGAACATGTCTCTTAAGATTTCTTTGTTTAAATACTATATGTTTTATATGGGGAAACTGAGTTATTCAACAGGATTTTGTGGTATTTTGCTTTATTGTGTGCTCACCAGCTTTACTACAGAAGCTTGATTTTATTGCATCATATGCCATGTTTTAGTCATAATTGGCCAACAGCAAAAGTGTACATTTAGAATAGAATGGACTATTGATCCCACAGTGGGGAAACTCACTTATTACAGCAGCTCCAACACTTAAGAGAATAACGGGAAGAAAAATAAAAGTACATTTATATACACGTAGGCAGTAATCAAGTATTGTAACCTTTGATCACTAAAAACTACAAATACAAATGAAAAACTTTGGTTCCAACACAATGTTGCTCACTGTAAGAGACAGACATGCAATGTAAATCTGATATTGCAGAAGCACTGAACCTATACTGAATAATGCATTGGTGTTCTTGTGTACCAGGATAATGCCAGTACAGCTTAAACTGAGGAGTTGTACACTTCATGCAGAGGGGATGAAAGATCTACGGTAGCGTTCTGTTTAACATGATGTCTCAGTCGGCCTCTGAAGGAGCTGTCCATGGTCTCCACAGTGGGGTGAGATGGTTTCATACGTCTCCTCAGCTGTAGCAGTGGGCAACTCAGAACCGATCTAGCTCTGTGAACTAGCTTGTTCAGTCTCGTCCTGTCTGTCAGAGCTGCCTGCACCCCAACCCCAACAGACCACAGCAGAGTGGATAACACAAATTTCATTAGATTAATAAATTGGACAGTAAAACTTATAAAATTTACATCAAAATACATGTTTCCTTGCAAAGATTTATATTTATGTGACTTAAAAAATATGGTTTATCTGAAAATTGAAATGAATTTACTGTTAATGGTAAATCTACACGTGGAGTTCTATGACAGCTTTAATAAAATCTAATCTGTGGGGGTTTAGGAATCTTGTCTGATAGAAGACGGGAATCCACGACGTGGTTAATTTTCAGTCTTTTTTCAAACTGAAGGTCGGATTCAGGATGAGTACGCCATATTGCGATTACGTAATCGGACAACCCAGTTGTTTCACGTCAAAACAATCCGGAAGACGGCAAGGCGTGATGGAGCTGTTGGAGCCGAGTGGAACGGTCTGAATTTACTGTAGCTGTTTAGACAGAACAGCGGAAAGTTGTTTAAAAGAACTCAGCGAAGATTAGCAGCTTGATGAGCGTTAGACTTAAGGTCCTTGCTAAATTAACACTTCTCAGCTGATCGAGGTGTTAGAGTTCATCTTAAACTGGTCCAGAGTAACCATGGGAAATGGAATGAATAAGGTCAGTTGTGTTTAGTTTTTCTGCCCAGATGTTATGCTGTTTGTGATCAAACTAATGCCAAATAACTGGGTAAAGCCTTTACGTTTCCATTGTCACGTATTTTGGTCTCTGCCATTGTAACAAACAGTCCAAAAGGACCACTTCAATGCAGTTGTTTGGCCGTTTTATTAACGTGCACGATCAAAACGATTTATTTAATAAATGTCATGTTTATTCATACCAATGTAAAAAGCTGCTTTGTTTAGCTTTACACACTTGCTTTACACCCAGTAAAACAAAAACAACTGCCCTACCAGAATCAGGAGGGTTTTTACAGTCGTGTGTGCAAGACATCATAATAGGAAATTGCTCAGATACTTGGTGCCCAAAAGAAATCCAAAAATAAGAGATAAGCAAATATAGGAAGTAAGAATATAATCATGATAAGATAATAAAGTGGCAATAGTTAGAGAAACGGCTACTATAATATATACAGTGCAAGCCAAATGTTTGGACACACCTTGTGTTGCCTTAATTTTCATGACCATTTACACTGGGCGATTCTCACTGAAGGCACCAAGACTGAAGAACACATATGGAGTTATGTACTTAACCAAAAAAGGTGAAATAACTGAAAACATGTTTTACGTGCTATTTTCTTCTAAAACGCCACCCTTTGCTCTGATTCAATTCAATTCAAAAATACTTTATTAATCCCGGAGGGAAATTAGAGTTTCAGTACACACAATTCTGAGATCATACATACATACATACATACATACATACATAGAAACATGACAAGAATTGGTGACTGTGGTCATTCGCAACCTGAGTCACGCTACCGTAATAGATCTAGAGGGTTTATATGAGGATGGAGTCAGGGGGAGGGAAAAAAGCACTTCAGAGTTACCCTCAACAGAGAGGGCAGCTTTGCAATGCAAAAAATAAAAATAAAAACACCTCAGACAGATATGCTCACAGACTTCAGACATTACACAACATAAGTGTCCACTAGGTGGGGAGGTAGGGTAGGGACTCTCCTCACTTCAGTGCGTGCAGCCGCATGGAGCAGCGCTCATCACCTCCGTTTGGACAGGGGAGTGAGATTAATGGGTTAGAAAGCACAGTGACTTCTAGATACGGTTCCACGGCCTTCAGCAGTCGCAGTCCCGCCCAGGCTGGGATAGGGAGAAAGAGTTTCCATAGCGACAGCAGCATTCCACATTTCTTCTGAGGGGAGTTTACACTTCAGCCTCACAGGCTTCAAGGGCACCAGATTCAGATTAGAATTGTTTGGGGACAGATAGAGATCATTTCCTCTCTGCCATAATGTTCTGTTGGTCTTCAACCCCTCTAGATCCAATAATGGCATAATTAATCTATCCCAGTCAGTGCTGATCTGTCAAGTCTCTCCTTGATGGAATCCACCTTCTGTGCCAGAGCCTGAATCTCAGCCAAAGTTCCAAGCTTACGACTCATCTCAACAATTATGAGTTTGTGCGTTCACAGTGCGATGCATTCCATCCCTGAGCTCCGGGATTGAGACAATATTCCTCGAAAGCTCTTTAATTTTCCGGTAAGCCAGGTAACCGCTCAGGCCAAACAGCAGGGATCCCGACACCAAAACGACGAATATCCAGACATCTTCAGAATCCTCTACAGACAGTTGAGAGAGGCATATCAGGTTCCACTGTTTCCAGGAGTCCATGATATATCCAGCTGGCTCTGTCCCAGAGGAGCATCCGGGAGCCCCGTCTCCCGTTCTCATCGTTGAAAAATTTTGTATCAATCGCGTTGAGAGACCAACTGACCAGATCCATTTTTAATTATTTCCAGTTTCCAGAAAAAATGCAGAAAGCGCCGTGCACACAAAGACAGGACAAAGAGCCTTGGGATGAGGAGGGAGGGAGAGGAGAAAAAAAAGCGTCTCTACTTTCCAAGAGCCGGAGCATTCTCTAGATGAGCTTCTAGTCCTTCAAGAATGTAAAAAAAAACAATTTCAGACTATCCCTTTGAAGAAAATAGAATGTAAACATGTTTTCAGTTATTTCACCCAATTTGGTTAAGTTCTTAACTCCACATGTCTTTGTTCAGAGTTTTGATGCCTTCAGTGAGAGTCTCCCATTGTAAATGGTCATGAAAGTAAAGAAAACACAGTGAATGAGAAGGTTATATAAACTTTTGGCCTGTACTGTACAAGACAGTGTAGGTACTATTCAAAGCGGAACAGTTCAGGTACAAACTTTTTTAACTGTCAGGGCTGTAAACACTAAAAAATCTCAAAAAGTAACGAGCCTTGTTCTAATACAAGATCAAAATAACCCAGAACACCCAATGGACTGCACTTGGTGAAACCTGAGAGTTCCAGGACCTAAACCTCTGCTGACTATAAGGAGCAGAAATGCCCATCTCACATTTAATAAAATAACACTTGATGAGCTTCAAGATACGTGGACTGATGAGATAACAGTGGAACTTTTCTGAAAGCTGTCCATTAAAGCTGATGTAAAACTTACATTGCATTCAGAGATAGAACGTCATATCAACAGCCAAACATGGTGGTGGTAGTGTCATGGTTTGGGGCTGTGTAACAATTCTGCAAAGGGTGGCGGGGGGAATCACCTACAGTTATAGGGAGCCTAAGTCACGCCCATCTACTTCCAGACCATGGGTCCCCGGAAGAACGAAAAATCGAATGCAAGTCAATGGGGCTAAAAAGGCTATTTTCTAATTCCGCTTGTCTTGTGCCATGGATTTCACATATGATGTCAGTAAATTTTAAAGACACATTTTTACATCAAGAACGTGCTATTTTTGAACAGGGGGAACCACTATTTTAGATTTTGTGTGAAAATAAGTCCAGGGCTACAAATGCGCTTCACGAAAGTGACGTCATCGAGTCAGACATGGAGAAAACAGGGGGTACAGGGCTGTACGTTCAGCAAACCTCCCACAGGAGGAAAGAACCACCATAAATCTGGTCATTTGGTAAGTAGCAGCTACGTTATGGGAGAGGAGATCATGTGGTGACATCACACATGCGACGTGCCAATTTCTGGTGTGTAGTTATGCTAAGTATGAACTTTTACAAGCTGATGAGTCTCAAAGTATGTGACAGGCGTACTCGAAACACCCATCATTACTTTTCATTTAAATTGCAGTACAGCATATGGGCAATCCAGGGTCTAAGGCAAAGTGGATAAGGAAATAGCGTTTTTAGCCCCCACTTGCATCAATTTTTTCCTTCTTCCGTGGACCCATGAGCCGACCGGAAAGAGAGGAGACTTACTTATGATCAAAAACGATTGTGTGATTTAAAAAAATAAAAAATAAATAAAGGAGGTGAATACTTTTTCACAGAACTGTATGTACAATACTAATACACCACATTTTTTTTATCACCTTTTAAAAATGAACTGTGATTTTCTTTATGAGGATTAATACACCAAAATAAATAAATGCAGCATGTGTTTATTTAAAAAAAAAATTATTTTAAATTATTTTTCACATTTATAAAGTGAAGTTTGGCAGGGTAAATCCTCATTATTCGTAGTGCTCGTGTATCCATGATGATAAATTATTTACTGGTAACATGCAAAATGTCATTTTAAATACAGTAATTGGAACAATAAGCCACATCTCAGTAGAATCAGTGCATTAAGATCAGCAAATATTAATCAAATATAGCCCTTAAATAATCAGGGTGCATCCGTCACATAATTTATCTGTGTGAATAGGTATCGGGGGGGCCTCATTTATCAACCGTACTTACGCACAGAGCTGTGCGTATTTCGTGCGTAGGCACAAATTTACGCATTGTGTTGTATTTACCAATTTGTACTGCGAGTGAACAGTTTCCTAAATATAGAACAGCTCTGACCATGCGTAGGAACAGCATCTAGTGGTAGAGGGGGGAACAGCAGTTTTGAAGGTCTCAGTCATCCACGCGTGTTTCTCATCCACACATTATATTTACCCAGTATGTATGTCAGTGGAAAAACGGCTTTTGTGCATTATTGGTGCTAAAACCAACAAAAGACACATGTGACTGATGGAAATCTGACATTAAATCATGACTAATCTGTGTTATTTGAAGATGTAACAGAGCGTGCACACTGGAGGGAACGCATTCTCAATGAGGGAGAAATCCTTCTGCTGTGCTGTGATTTGGGACCCTTTGAGACAGACAAACCTCCGATTCCAGTTCATATTTTATTTTACAACCACGAGAACCCGCCAGAACCACCTCCTGCTCCCCGGTCATACATGCAAGCAGACTGACAGCTCAGAAGAGGCTGAGGCAGCACTTTCAGACAACATTTCCAAATAAAACTAACTCCAAACAGAACGACTCCATAAGTGTAAATGAGAACCCGTTACTCTACGATTTTTGCCTGCTGGTGGTCGGAGGGACTGGTGGCTCTAGTGCTCGGCAGCCTCGCCACAGTTCGCCCCAGGGCAGCTGTGGCTACATCGTAGTTCATCCCCACCAGCGTGTGAATGGGTGAATGAGTGATTGTGTTGTGAAGTGCCTTGGGGGGTTCCAGGACTCTAGAAGGCGCTATCTCAAATACAGGCCATATACCACTTATCAAATTCATTTTTTATTTATTTCTGACAGGAACCTCTCTGTCCCGACCGTGTTTATAACCTCTGCAACTTGGTTTTTTAATTTTTAATTTTTTGCGGTTCGGCAGCCAGTGTCTCCATCTCGCTGTCAATAAAGTTTTTCTTATTTTTTCTTGAAAAAAACTGGAATTCCCTCACGTGCTGAGGACGTAGCGTGATCAAATATGGTTAATTGAGGGCGTTTCTGTATGTAAATGACGGTGAACAGACACGAGCACCTGGGTATGACGGTTGGGATTTATCATCAGTTGATCGCAGAGGAATGTGCGTACGAGAGGCCACCGCGCGTTTCATAAATCAGGAGTACACACATCCTAAATGTCATTTGTAGGTTTTTTTTTTTTTTTTTTTTGCATGTTGCAAAAATAGTCACTCCATCCTCTTGTCCTGATAATCACACATCAATGAACCTGGCCTTGTATGGCTGTCGGAAACATTTGCTTAATTCTTAATCCTTAAATCCGACCTAGCTTGACCCAGAACATTAGTTCATTTGAAGGCGGGTTCTTGTGAGTGATCTGAGATGAATTCTTAATGCACAATGTCTGTGACCGCTGCTTCACAGGTTGTCGATGGGCTGTACCTTGGGAATATACGAGGTAAGACAAAAGTGCCTTAAATCTTTAAATGGATAGGTAAGACATAAGTAACAAGTAAATGATCAACTGTATTTACTAAAAAATAGATCAAGTGTTTGGTTATTAATAATGTAGCATATGCTGTACAGTGTTGGATTATATGTTTTTCAGTTTAAAGTTTATGAAACATGCGCTAGCTAATAATCCGTTTTGTATTCCCATTTTACAATTTTTCAGGCCGTGAGGTAAGGCAGCAAAGTGTCAAAAGAATAAAATCATCAAGACCTATTTGATTTGTTTTCTTGAGCTTATATGATGTAAATCTTTAGGGTAAAGCAAGCAAAATCTCAACTAAAATGGGTTGTTCCCTGGTTTGACACACCACCTCCCCCCACGTTTACACTGTGTACTAACTTTAGCTCTCTCGACGTGATGACAGACGGATCACAGCTAAAATTAGTCTTAAGTGACAGGAGCAAGTGAGAGCAGGCCGAGCTAAAAGAGCTGCAAGAAAAGATGCTGCAGCGGCGGGATGGGTGGCAGTTAAAGGTGCAGTATGTAAGAATGTAGTGAGGACTTTACTGAGAAAATCCCAAAAGAGTCTAATGTTTCAATCATTTTGGAAGGAAGGTTATACTGAAACATATTTCATATCCAGCTGGCTGCAGGGGTTGTCAGTTTTTCTCCTTTCAAAACGAAGGAGGGACGTAACTACTGTTTACCATCGGTGAGTGTGGAGCTGCCGTGTCTCCTGCGAGCTAATGCTGCAGCGCCAACAATTATAATTTGACGACGGCCGGCAAAAAGCTCCAGAGTGGTTAAAAGTGGTTGCAGTAACCAAATTTTACCACAGGATGTAATTTTTACTAAATATCTACACAGTGCAGCTTTAAGACATGTTGAGTCGGCTGTTTTCTTTTCTGTGTGACATTTTTGTTTTTTACAAAACAAACAATCCTGCCTATCTGTTGGCCCCATCACCTAATGTGTCCTACGGAGCAACTCCGAAGTCGTCATTTCTAATAAAGCAACTTGTGTACCAGACTACACCTCATATTCAAGCTGACAGCGGTGAAAAGTTGATTTAATAGTTTTTTAAAGAAGTTACATTAAAATTATTAAACAAAAGCTTGTAAGAATGTTTGTTTTTTGATGAGATATGTTGCTTTTTTTTCTCCTTACAGACTCAGAAAACAGAGAAAGCTTGTCCAAAAATGGCATCACCCACATCTTGTCTGTGTACAACAATGCAACGCCGGTGATTGAGGTTAGTTTTGTCTTTGTTTGTTGTCAAGACAGAGTTGTATATTTTCTTTGGAGAAGTGTTTATTTTAACCTAGAAATGTTGATAAAATGTACCTGTTATAAATGCAATACACCCTTTCAACCAGCTGGGGGCATTGATGAGCTGTGTTGGAGATTTCAACCAAAAGGGGAAAAAAATAACAGCAGCTAAAAATGTCAGAACATTTTAAAACTTTAAGAGACGATTAGTGACAGCATTGTGGACCGAGACTTTCAAAATTTCTCTGGTTCATGTTTTCTTTAAATATAATTCAGCATTTTGTTTGTTTTGCAGGACAGGAAGTATCTTTGTATTCATGCAGCTGACACCTCCAGCCAGAACCTGTAAGTAAACGCACCACAAGTATATAATAACAGATTAAAAACATCAGTTTTATTTACCAAATAGACACACCAACATCCAAAAATGTTTTGTTAAAGTAGATATGGTCCTTAAAACTCTGAAAACCACATGAGGCAGCAATAATTTGAGCTAATGATTGTATAGTTTTGTCAGATTTTAGTCTGTTGTGGATGAATTAATTTTTGACAGTTTCTTTTGGAACTGGGGTGTTTTACTACGTGCAGTGTTCAGTGTGTTACAATAAAGTCATGGCCCATTTTCCACAATTGTGCAGATGTGAACACAGGAATGGTGCAGAACAAAATAACCGGTCTGACTCGTGTTTTATTACTGAGCTCTGTTGTGGTTTATTATTAATAAAATGTAACAATCAGCTGAAACTGTTGAGAAAATTTGGTTCAAACAAAATAACAGGAGGTGTTCAGAAAGTTTGGAACCGCATCTCATCTCATCTGCGTTAACGTGTTTTTACCCATAACATTTAACTGAGGATGTTTTTCTACCCAACATCAGCCTCCTTAAACTCAAACCAGGTCTGCATAACTGATGTTACCCTGTCTTCTTGACGAGCACGTCTCCATCCACCTGCTGCAGAAACACCTGCTGCCGTCACAGGAACGGGGATCCGTGCTGCAAACCCAAAATGAATCTGCGTGTTGCCAGTACAGACTTGGACACGTTAGTCAAATAATTTGTGCAATAATCAGATTTTTATTTTACTTCCACAAAATGCAAGTTCTGGATTAGATATTACTGAAACGGGGACAGCTTGCCATCATATTTAGTTCAATCCGATTGTGTCCATGTAAACGTGGCTACTCAGTTCTTTGCCTCACCGATATTTGGACAAAAACAGATTCATCAGCTCAGACTCAGACATTGAAGAGTGTAAATTGTTGGGAGACGAGGATAGACTGTGTTATTAACTAGCTCAGCTCAGAGCCCAGAACCATCTAGCTGTGTTTACATCTGGTAGACATAGGTCTGGGACCATAACACATTTTGCTGGATGATGTATTGTCCAACAAATTATTGACGATAAACGATGTTATTGTCGACATAATCAAGACCAAAATAACTACTTATGTAATGTCAATATATCATAATAATGCAAGTACACCCTTTAAAATGCAACATTTAAACCTTTATTTAACAATTTGGAATGCCCAGAACCAGAACTTCTAAAAAAACAAAACAAAACAAAATAAAAAAGGACTCTGACTCTGTTAGAAAATGTTGCCCCAAAAACAATAAAATAGACCCTGTTTCTCCAAAACAATAAATACAATGGCCTATCCAGTGTCAACAACCAAAACTTCACTTCAGTAATGATGATAAATAATAATAATGATAATAGAATTTTACATTTCTTAACCTCGATATATTGATGAGGCTGGAGAAATGGATTTATTGATTATCGTCCCCGCCCTAGGTAGATGCACATCTAGACAAACTGACCAATCAGCAGAATGATTATTTCTCATAGTATTTTTGGGGATGCATTATTTGGGTCAATGTTTATTTACTATGCAGGCACTTTTACCAAAGTGCATCAGTTTGGTTCCATCCATCCATCCATTTTCTGAACCCGCTTTGTCCACGCAGGGTCGGGGGGTGGGGTGGTCTGGTGCCTATCTCCAGCGATCAACGGGCAATCAGGCGGGGTACACCCTGGACAGAGAGCCAGTCCATCGCAGGTCAACACAGAGACACACAGGACAAACAACCATGCACACACACTCACACCTAAGGACAATTTAGACAGACCAATCAACCTAACAGTCATGTTTTTGGACTGTGGGAGGAAGCCGGAGTACCCGGAGAGAACCCACGCATGCACAGGGAGAACATGCAAACTCCATGCAGAAGGATCCCAGGCCGGGAAGCGAACCCAGGACCTTCTTGCTGCAAGGCAACAGCTCTAACCACTGCGCCACCGCAGTTTGGTTCATGCATTGTATTTGCATCATTTTTCATTTGCAGTTTTCTCTGGGCGAAAAGCTACAAATTAACAAATTCATGAACTTATTTGAACCAAAGAGTGTGAAAACAACCTCATTTAGTTGTTCCAGCAAACTGTTTACAAATGGCCTAAAGTCTTCAAAAATGATGAACAGCAATGTATTTTTGTTCTCTAACATCACTGCTGATGTGTTTCCTTGGTGGTATTGTACCAACCCAAACCTGCTGATCAAGGGATAATAAGCCTGTTACTTAACCCACTGGTGCATACAAAAACATTTAGGCATCTATCTCTTATACTAGGAAATATGTTCACAATATTTGCTTAAACAAAGACATATTTTAAACTGAATTGGATCCAAACTTTATTTATGAAGCCAAGAAAAGCCAAAACGTGTAAGCAACCAAATATGAAAGTAGTAAGAGGTTCACCACATCTATAAAAACAGCTAGAAGTACAACTGCTGTAAATTCAAAGCAAAAGCAAAACAGTTTATAAAACTGCTCAGTTTAAAGCAAAGGGGTCACAGAAATAATTAGCAATAGAAATCTCTACCAGTTTGATATGTTTTAAGCTTTGTGTTTGACAGGAGAAGCGCCTGGGAGCAAAACACACTCCGTTAAACTCTGCTCACACAGTTAGGGGTCATATTTTTATGTTTATAGGATTTTGAAAGAGAGAAATGGAGTGTTTTCAAAGTGTCGTTGTTTATCAGGGGGCCGACTGAGTGTTGAAAGAGGCACGAGCTGCACCTCCACCCTTGGAGCAACACATTAGTCATAGCTGCAGTGGTTTGCTCTTTGACCTCATGCAACACCATTTGCTTTAATCACAAACAATGCAAACTGTGAAAAGGTGCAGAAAAGTCCTTTATAAGCTGCAGCAAGGGCATAAGTGAGTTTTTTCGATGAGTGGCTTTGAGAACGCTTCAGAGAGATTTGGTTATTTGCAGCATGTCCGTGCAACAAACATCGGAGGTAGTATTGCCGAAGCGGCTGCACACTTTTATGATGCGTTGTGGCATTTCCATGCAGGTCTGAGAGAAATAATAGGACTGAAACTTCTGAAGAGGAACGTTTCTTAGTGGGAAATTAATTAATGGGAATTTAATTTGAGTGGTTGGTTTCTTGTTGATTTGGTGGTGGTGGGAGGGTGCCTGACCTCCACTGTCGCAATCAGGCGTCCTTCCCTCAGGCAACAGAGGAAGGAAACCCCTCAGTGGCATGGCTGTTTGCTTCGACCACCCAGAGCTTTAATTAACCATCTCTGTCACAATCCCTGGTCTGAGGGAGGAGGCCAACTGCCGTCCCTCCACGCGTACCATCACTTAGGGGCCCCTATGGTCATATCTGAGGGCTGTCATTGGATGTTTATATATATACGTATATATAAATATATATATATGTTTATTTATGTGGCGCTTTTATCCAAAGCGACTTACAATTTATAACCTATAGGGCATGTTGCGATCTGTGGGGGGAAACCTCATCCGCATCCGCGAGTATCCGGAGGAAACCCACGCATGCATGGGGAGAACACGCAACTCCACGCAGAAAGACCACAGCCGAGTTTCGAACCTGCAACTATCGTGCCGCGAGGCAACAGTGCTAACAACTGCGCCACCATACAGCCCATATGTGTATGTGTGTGTATATATATATAAAATAACAGTATTTATTCCACTTTTATGACCAGGCATTTTTAAACCCTTGTCTTGTATAAATTATTTTCTTACGTATTCTTTTATTGATTGTGATTTTCTGCTTTGTTGTGTACTTTTATTATTGATTGTGTTTTTGTTTTTATACAGCACTTAGGTCGGCTGCCATGCCATTTTTAAATGTGCTTTATAAATAAAGTTGGTTTGGTATGGTATGTATTCAAGGCTGAGTAAATATGAGACTTGAATCAATGTGAGTCACATTGGGCATTAAGGAAGATTTAAGAAAAAAAACTAAAACTAAGGTTGTTTTTTTTTCTTCTTTTCTGCACGGAAGGCTTGTTAGGGGTTTAATGCAATCACTGACCATGAAGGTGTAAATTCATTTGCATCAAGTTTTCCTAAATGAGATTTGCATGTGTGCAAGATGTCTCATGTTCAAGCACCATTTTGTTGTAGAAATTCATAATGGGCACATTAATGCAATACTGATTTTAAAACCATCACCATACATCTCGCTGCAGACTTGTGGAGGCCCTTTTTTGCATTTTGGCTTCAAAGCTGCTAAATGTCACTTTTTCAGCATTTTCTCCTCTCAGCTTCATCAAACCTCAAACCCATCTGTCACAAGTAAATTTTCTGCGTATCAAACAAGTCTGCCGGAAACCTCTGCTCTAAGAAGGAATGAGCAAACTGCTGAGGAGACGTTTTAAAGAGGAGTTAGGATCACAGGAAGGAGGAAAAACCGAAAAGTGACAGTCGATCTATTTTAGCTCCTGTCTGTTAACTCTGTCTGCTGTTGAGTAACCGGCGCTGCTCAGGAGACGGCATTATCTGACAGACACTTCTTAAAACGACAAAGAAGTGGTTTTCAGCAAGGAATTGGTAGAATTTCTGATTGGTTTTTGACCCTTTGGGTTTATTTATTTTTAAAATGTCAAACTTGTGAGAATTTCTATGATCCTGCACAAAAGTCACATGTTTTCACACTTTCTTTTTCAGTGGAAAGATCTTTTATACCAAATCTGGAAACCCGTGGCATTTTGCAGATGATAAAAAAAGACCGTTACTTCCTTTGTCTGCCTCTCCTGTCTGCATCCTGGTCTACCACTGAGCCAACCCAAACTGTTTCTCACATGACAACCTGGAGTAGCTGAAAGGGACAAAAAGTCTCTTCTCAAGCAGTTTCTTAGAAATGGCTAAAAATCTATTAAAGCCACTTTGCTCAACCTGGAGCCTCTGGCAGTATTTGGAAGTAAGCTGTAGTTTCTGCTATCTGAATCGGCACATCACCACAACTTTCGAGCCTCGGCGCTGGGGTTTCAGTTCTAGGTGTCCTTTCTCATATCCTATAAAACCTTATGCCTTTTTTTGGCTTTGCAACCTGCAGCGCTAAAAATACAACGCTACGTTTTCTGATATAAAGAATGTGTGCGATTGTGTTTTTCTGGACATTTATGTGTGTGTGTGTGTGTGTGTGTGTGTGTGTGTGTGTGTGTGTGTGTGTGTGTGTGTGTGTGTTACAATGTTGTTCCTTTTTCTGGTGTTCAGCTAGAAGCCATCTGTTAAGTTTTTACATTAGTTAGCAACTTTTGATTAAAACTACGTCTTAATGTTGGATTCCTTGAGAAGTCAAAAGACTAAAAACATTTAGAGATCTGCATTGGGTTTATGAGAAAAAGGCACATTTTATGGTATTTGTCCTTAGTCCTTAATCTTAACCCGACACTTCCAGAATTAAACCTAATTTGCGTAAAGAATCATTTTAGCTAAATTTCACAGATTTATCTGAAATGTGTTTCTTTTTCTCTGATGACATCTTCAGTCAGATGAAGATGACCCTACATCTGTTTTCTGGCCCTCAAAGCGAGTCTCTTAAATTCTAAGTTAATGTGTTTGTTCAAACCTTTTTTTATTCTCATTCCAGATTACAACATTTCAAAGAGTCTATCGGCTTCATCCATGAATGCCGCCTGAATGGTGGAGTTTGTTTAGTTCACTGGTGGGTTTTCGTTTATTAATTTCGTTTGTTATTTTATTTTAAACATTTTCACATTGGAGAGTACCAGATATGGATTTTTTTTAAAGCTGGTAATTAGTGCTGTGTTGATACAATCGGAAAATTGATTCTGAATTGATTCTCATGAAAATTCCATGAATCGAGTCCAAAAGTCGATTTATTGTTTAGCATATAGTTTAGCATGTCCTGGGACTGGCAGATCGGGGTTCAAATCCCGGTGGGGTCATACCAAAGACCCTCAGCTTTAAGGGGTTGGATTGGGGGGTTAAACCAAATAGTTCCCGAGCACAGCCACTGCTGCAGCTCACTGCTCCTCACAGGGATGGGTCAAATGCAGAGAGGCAATTTTACCAGTGTGTAATGATGAACAATGGGACTTTAACCTTTTACAGCTAAAATTAGAAGGAAAAGTCCAGATTGGTCCAAAAGGGTTTATCTTGTTTCCCCTGGTGAACTGTAACTCTCCCAGTGTTTCATTGCATCACTGAATTACTGCCATATAATTATGGTAATAGCTCAAAAATCATTTTAATAGCACCGATCCATATCAATATCGAACTGGAACAGATTGAATTGGTTCAGATTGTGATAATCGATTCTGACCCTTGGGAATCAGAAACAAATCCATTCTTGAAATCTGAACCAATACCCAGCTCTACTAATAAAAGGGATATAATAAATTATTGGTGCACTGAAATATCACAGCATTTTGTGTTATGACACTGTGTCAATATTTAAAAGTTGTATTGATATTTTTTAACTGGGAATATTACAGGCAAACATTAGTTGTATTTCTTTTGTGGTGCAATTGGAACTCCGGCTGCTAGGTGGCAGCAGTTTTGTCAGATGTGTCCTGGCATCTGGCCTGAGTTTTCCAATTAAATTCAGTCTTAAAACTGCAAACATTATCTGATTTTTAGTATCATATTACATCAAATAGCCAAACACCTGATGGACTTCAAGGCAGCTGACGTACGGTGTCATATTTTTCTCGTTTCCCTTTTTCTTTTCAACCAAAGAAAGTTTAAAATAATTGTTTTCACTTAAATAAACATTAATTTAACAATGTTTAAATTAACATTGCCATCTAAAAAGTAGAAGAGCACTTTTTAAAAGAACAGAAGTTTGAGCTGCTGGATAATGTTTTTTTCCTGTCATTAGTAATAAATACGCACAAACATAGCCACTAGTGATTATTTTCTTAACCCTTTGATGCATAATGGTCACTACAGTGGACAGGTACTCAAAATTGTTATTTATTTATTTTTGCTATTAAGCACAGCTGTTGAAGACTTTACTGCATTTAAGCCCCTTCATTTGGACTTCAGTAAGCCAAGCCAACATATTTCATGTTCAGAATGCACGCTGTCCACTGAGGTGGACATGTAATAAACTATGTGTAAATTAAATGTTACAAAAAATATGTAAATATGAAATTTGTTTCATTCACACCTAAAGATGAATGAAAAAAAATGTTTAAAAAATCATGGTTGAAGATTTCATAATTCATGCATCAAAGGGTTAAAGATCAATATTGACCGATTATTTGGTCCATCTCCTGACGTGCATTTTGTATCATAGCTGAAGTTGGGTGTTTTTCTGGTCTATTTGTATGATTATAATCAAAGTGACGTTTTCAGCCTTGCAGGTGTGTCCCGCAGCACTACCATGGTGGTGGCCTACTTGATGACTGTCACCCACTACAGCTGGGAGGAGTGCCTGTCTGCAGTCAAGGCTGTTCGCTCATTTGTCGGCCCGAACTACGGCTTCCAGCAGCAGCTGGAGGAGTACCAGAATACAACAGTGTCAGAGGTAAACACGATGACGGCAACAGACTCCTTTTACCTAAAGTGAAAAAGAGAATCTGATGAGTAACAGGTTTATTTGGGGGGGAGGGGTAATATCATGCTGTAGATACTTTAACATGAGCTCTGTGCTCAGACCCCAACAGGATGTAACACCTAGAACCTTCACAGTGCACATGCTGTCTGTGGTGAACTTGTCAACTGCTAATCGCAGCCACTTTGTGCATAATTTCTGCAGTGTCCAAAAAAATGTCTGTTGTGTTTTTTTTATCTTTTCAATCAGCTGTGGTTTGTTTTACAGTAATGTACACGTCCAAACTTGCATAGTTGTGATTCTGAGCTACAAATGTTATTCTGAGCTTTCTCGTTATGCATTCATTTCTGTTGAAGTTGATTCAAACAATTTAAATCCAGTTTGGTTTAAACTTGTGAACATCTCTGGGTTATCAGGACCAACAAGAGCGTGCAGCAGGCCGGTCTCAACACTGAGTGTTTCTGCATCATTTTTTAGTTTGTTGAGGTTCTTTGTGTGTGATTCTGACAAAGTGTCAGAGAAGGGGAACTGCAGGGGGTTTGCTTGGATTGCATTAGCTTGGGTTCTGCTTACCACGTGTTAGGCGTTACTGTCAGCATCTTGCAACATGACTGAAAAAAAACAATAAAAAAGAAACCGATCTTTGTAGGCCTTGCACTGATTTCGAGGATTTAAGGGGAAATGTATTGTTTGATTTGTGATTTTCCCACGTGTGTCAGATAGAAAGTGAAGGGCCCAAAAGTACTTTTATCTTTTAACTCTGCAGAAATGAAAACATAAAGGTTGCTTATGCATGAGCAACTGTTCATTTTAATTTTATTTTATAGACATTTTTCAAAGACAACAAATGGTAAAAAACAGATTTTGATGCAGGTCATATGTAAATGATTACTGCTTCTTTGTTTACTAGAAACAAGCCTTAATGCTACATGTGATCGGTTCAAAACTTCAATCTAATTTCAATTTGGCTTCCCTATTTGCTTGATTCAGTTTCTTGTGAATGTGTGTGTGAATGGGTGAATGATTGTGTAGTGAAGCACTTTGGGGGGTTGTAGAAACCTAAGAAAGTGCTATACAAATGCAGACAATTTATAAGTAGAGGTCAACCGATACCGATGCTGATGTGTAGGAGACGTGGTCAGCCGATGACCGATACGCACTGTTGAGTAGATTGGGTCGATTTTCATAGCCGATATCTAGAAATTTTCAAGCTAAATTATCACTAATGCGCAAAATGTCTAAAGCTGAATCCACAAAATGTCTAAAGCTGAATCCATTTCGAACACTGAATTGTTAAATCTTAATTTTGTGCACTGCTCAGTGTTAAAATCAGACACCTTACTAATAGTAAATATCCTGTATTTGTACAGCGCTTTCTTTGGGTTCTACAACCCCCCAAGGCGCTTCACAAAAATGGCCGGTATGTGATATAGCGCCTTCTAAAGTCCTGGAACCCCCAAGGCGCTTTACAACACAATCAGCCTTTCACCCATTCACACGCTGGTGGGGATGAGCTACGATGTAGCCACAGCTGCTCAGGTGCGCACTGACAGAGGCGAGACCTGCCAAACACAGGCGCCACCAGTCCCTCCGACCACCACCAGCGGGCAAGGTGGGTTATGTGTTTTACCCACGGAGCTGGGATCGAACCTGCAACCTTCCGATTCCTGGACCACCCACTCTACATCCTGAGCTACTGCTGCCCCCACTAAAGTGAAACAAATCAGTTGACTGACCAACTATTAAATATTTCAAACTGGTAAATACAAATAAACTTTAGTTAAAAACATGTTTACTGTGTTTTTTGTACAAATGTTATTCAGGAATGTAAATATACTTTTAAATACAATTCTGAAACAGCGCCAGGCTGCCCGAGGATGTGCCCGATTTTAAATTGGCTTGTTAAGGACAAATATCGGCCAATACAGATATATAAAAAACTGTAAATATCGGCTGATGCTAATTTATAAAAAACTGAAATGTTAGCCCCATATCGGCCGACCGACATATTTGTCTACCCTTAGTTATAAGTAACTGTTTTCTGAATAATCCAAAATAAATGAGAAGAAAGATGAAGACAAAATGCCTCAGATGAGCTGATTCCATCCGACTGTAAAGTCAGATTTCTGATGTCACTTGTCCAACGCTTGAAAGCACTCTGTGACGTCTAGATTCACGGTCGTCTTCAGATTTATGAAATGAAATTGAACAGATTTTGTTTCAAGGTTTTGCTATCAGTACTGGTACTGATCTGATCTCCTGGCTGATCTGATCTTGTCATTCTGAATCAGTCCTGTCCTGTTTGGCTACTTGGGTGAACGTGAAAATACTAATTTTAGAAAAATGCATGAATTACTTTCACAACGACTTTCACTTCATTTTATTTTGTGAATAATAACTTATTGCAAAAATCAGAAGGATCATTCCTGGATATAACTTGACAGATTAGAGCTTCTCACATTTATGATCTGGCGCTGCTTTTTATGACCATATAATAAAGTTCATCTACCATAAACCAACTTTAACTGTAAATGACATTATTTTATATTACTCCAACTTTTAATCTGTTAATTGGGCTTAGTTTTTAACTTGGCTGGTTTATTACTGCTTTTTCATTCACCTTCTGTCCAGTGCTTGAACATAGTTTGTTTTTAAATCACTAAACTCCGACTGTTGAATAAATCATAACATAATAATAGTTTGTGGAGGAACCAGTGTTGATCTTTACACTGGTTGCTAGCAGCCCACAAAGACACATTTTGTTGCTGTTTATTCATTCATTTTCTAAAATGTCTTTTTTTTCTCCGCACTAAATTCATTTCTAAGCAAGGACTGCAGAGAAAATGAGTAGGAACAGCCACAGAAAACCCAAAGATTTGTTAATCAAGACTGTTTTAATCTTTTTGTTGCATCCTTTGTCACCAGTACCGAACGTGGTTGCAGACCAGTTTCCGCCCCAGTCCGTTTAACGACCAGGAGCAGGTGGGAGCCCTGCTGAGCCAGTACACGGAGCAACAGGAGAGCCAGAGGCCAGCTGCAGACCAGAGCTAGATCACCGTGGGATCAGATACGGAACGTCCTGCAGGCAGCAGCTGAAACTGGACTCGCTGGTTGAATTTGGGCTCGGTGATGCATGGAACTGCCTCTCATTCTAAATCACGCTAAAGCTTTATCCAGCTTTAAAGGTGCAGTAGGAGACTTTTTTTTCTGGGATTTCTTTTGCCATATTGCTGGTGGCAACCAAAAAATAAAATGTTTTGTCAAAGGAAATGTTTCTGAAAAGTACAATCCTGGAAAAACCTCATCCAGTCATTGTGACTGTCCCCTTCTTAATGATTGGATCCTGATGTATCCATCAAACTGCCCTCTGAGTATCCCTCCCCCCGCTGAGCACACCCCTCTATAAGGCCATTTCCACTATTGGAACTTTGGGGTACTTTTAGCAGAACTCTGGAATACCTCTGCTGAAGAGTTGTGGGTGAAGCTGGTGGTGGTCGGAGGGACCGGTGGCGCCTGTACTCGGCAGCCTCGCCTCTGTCAGTGCGCCCTAGGGCAGCTGTGGCTACATTGTAGCTCATCACCATCAGTGTGTGAATGGATGAATGATACACTGTAGTGTAAAGCGCTTTGGAGTCCTTACTGTGAGAGGCGCTATACAAGTGCGGGTCATTTATCATTTAAAAAGAAAATAAGCACAGTTTGCTCTGCTACAAAATCACTGTTTCTACACTCCCAGCACTGACAAATGCTGCAGAATTTTCTCCACAATGTCATAATTTATGTTGATCTCTGGTCTCCTACAGAGCACTATAAAAAAAAAGGTTCTTCTGGTCATTGAATGCCACTTCTACATCACACAGCCGCTCTCCTTGTCCTCCAAATGGATGAAATTAGGGTGTACAGTACTTCGACATGCTAAAAAAAAAAGAAGAAAGGAGATTCTGTATTGCACTGTTAAAGCTTTTGGACGACTCAAAACAGGATTATAGAACTTTATTCTGTTTTGAATTGTGCTACAGAATGAAATCCACCATCAGTGAGAGCTGCCACAACCAGGAGTACTGATGCTCACAGACGCCTTACTATAAACGCCTCAGCACTTTATCTATAATGACTAACATGTTGTGTTCCTTCAGTGAACTCTGTACTAAGGGGTATAGGTCCAGAGAGTGAGCTCTGTGAAAACTGAAGTTGATTCTATTTTCAGGGAAACTTTTCTGTTTACATGTGTTTCCCCTGCAGAAATTGTTAATCAAGATATCAGGGCTCAGTTAATGATGGCTTTCTTTCAATGGGGGGGGGTGGAGAAATTCAGAGTTCATCGGACTTATGGAAATCTGCTATTTTGGGGCTAACAGTTCATATTCCATGCATGTAAAGTCAACCGAGAGTTCCCATATCGACTAGGAAATAACGCCTAATTTATCCAAATATTTCTTATGAAGTTGAAGATGGAAATATGTTTTTCTAAGTTCTACACTACAGATACCAACCCTAATCTGATATTTACCTCTTGTGAACGTCTCTGAAGAGAAAACGTGAAACGGGTTTCCCAGAAACTCGGCCTGTTTCATCCCTGCTGAGAAAAGTCTAACTTTATACCTCATCATGTAATAAAGACCAAAACAACTTTAATTAGTCACAGATCTACTTAAAGGATCAACCAGCTAAAAGTGGGAATCCACAGAAACTGTTGCTAGTCTTCCAAATTTTATTGAAACTTAATTGATACTTAATTGATTTCTTATGTGCAACTTTTTTATGAGATGATTTGAAAATTTGTTTTACTAGTGTTTATTTATGATGTCATTTTTAACTAAAATGCATTAACCAATAAAGTACAGCTACTTGTAAAGTCTGATTTACTGTTTGTGTATTTATTAAAACAGGTAGTGATTCTTACTTCAGGCCCACCATGTATAGTCTTTTTCTACATGTTTTTATCCTAAACTGTTTCTATTAGAATTAATTTGCTTCAGTCAGAAAGAGTTGCAGTTCTGTTTTCTTTTGAATAATGGGCCTGGTTCAGCATGCTGTTTCCTGGCAGCTCTCAGAACTGTTTACACTGTTTGTAAACAGCAGATTGGGGGGGGGGGGGGGGGGGGGGGGGGTTGTTGGACGTAAGTCAGGTTCCTGTGTTATTTATCCATTAATAAAAGCGTCTTTGCATTTATTAATAATGTCAGATAATAATACTAAACTTATAATATATATAAATAATAAGTAGTTGTTGTTTTTTTGTTTGTTTGTTTTAAAACAAATCAGATAAATGAGTCCCAGTTCTGCATAACTCCTAAACAAATCAAGGTTTTTGGATATTTATGATTATTCTACAATAAATGACGAGATATTGTTTTTATGATTTTACATTGTGGCTGTCCAGTCCTGATTAAAGAGACAGATATTTCTAAAGAAACGGCGCTCTTTCCACGGCCACTGTAACCACCTGCACACGGTTTCACATCAGGTTTGAGTGGGCTGAGGGGACGCGTAACACCTCCTCCTGATGGAGCGCAGAAATCCCCCAAAGCGCACAAGAACTTGTGACTTTTATGAGTTCAACCAGGTCTCCGCGTCTGCGTGGCAGCGAGCGAGCGTGGGCAGCCCTTTATCAACCAACGCTTGTGTCAGGCCATTTCTTGTAAATCCCCGCAGTTCAGAGAACCGCTCTTCCGGAATGGGCCGTCTCCTATGCGCTCATTGGTCGGATTCGAGCTCCGTCTGTCTGGTTCAGCCCCCCTGGTGGTTCATTCATCCACAGAACACAAACTTTATAGATGCGCGACCTGGAGACGGTGTTTGATTTAATCTGACAGCGAGCGTCAATCAACATCGCTCTCAGATCCAGGAGCGCACCTGCCAATCAAACGGTAAGTGACGTTTCCTCTCGTTTAGTGGGACTTCTAGAGTTCATTTATGACCAAAATAGTTTTTGATTAATCTTTTTTTAATTGTTATTTTAGGAACAAGCAACTTATCTGAAGATAATCTTTGTGAAGATGTCGAACTCTGGAGGTCGGAGGCTGAAGCAGTGGCTGATGGAGCAGATCCAGAGCGCTCAGTATTCCGGACTTCAGTGGGAGGATGAAAGCCGCACCATGTTCCGAATTCCTTGGAAACATGCAGGAAAGCAGGATTACAACCAAGAAGTTGATGCATCTATTTTTAAGGTCTGAAAGCTTTTTTTCTAGAGTTTTTCTGTGGAAGTTGACTATTTAAAGTACCTTTGAGAATTTCTGACAAGTACAACCAGAACTTGGCTATGAATCTTATTTTCTTTCCCTTTTTTCTGCATTTTTGATTTCCACCTTTCCTCGTTTTCTTGCCAAATGCAAAATAATTATTTTCTTACTTTTTGACCCTTGATCCTTCTTCTCCACAGGCCTGGGCAGTGTTTAAAGGCAAGTTTAAAGAGGGTGACAAGGCTGAGCCTGCTACCTGGAAGACCAGACTCCGCTGTGCCCTGAATAAAAGTCCTGATTTTGAGGAAGTGACTGACAGGTCACAGCTGGACATTTCTGATCCTTACAAAGTCTACCGCATTGTTCCTGAAGAAGAGCAGAAGCGTGAGTTTCTGTTAAAAAAGCTACAAAACACAAATGAAAATTAAAAATCTGTTATTTGAATGCAAACAGGCTCATATTTAGCGTTTCTTCCACCTCCAGACTGTAAAGGCTCGATGATGCCTATGGCAACCACCAGCTCTGGTGATCCGACAGAGATGGATTGCAGTCCTGCAGAAATTGAAGAGCTAATAAAAGAGGTGAAAACATTTTTACACTACGCACAGTTAATGCCATCCTTCTGTCAACATCATAATATGCACAATTCACACCTCCTCCTCGATTTTCACAGCTGTAGTACAGGCACCTTATTTACATCATCTTATTATGGCGTTGCATTTTTTGCAGGAGGAAAGCTGCAGCATCCAGGCTAGTCCGGAGTACTGGCCCCAGGCTAACATCAATGGTAAATTCAACTTCACTTGTTCACACGTTAATCTGTGTTGTGGTCACAACAACATCACGCTCAGCTTTTTTCTGAGACATTATCTCAGAATAACCCCAGTGGAAAGCCCTTAACCCCCTGTCCCTGCTGCTGCGGGTGCTAAATAGAAGTTATTTTGTTCTCAGTTGAATTCTGCAACGGAACAGTTGACTAATATCCTGTTTAACTTTGCTGACTGAAGTGATTATTTCTTTGTAAATCGTGCTAGAGAAATTTTATTTCTGATGATGCAGCAAAGCCTTTGCATGACACACAGATTGGGTTTAAACTCTTCCTCCTGTTGTTGACAGCTTTCCCCTTGCACCAGGAGCCCATGCCATCAGGAACTTCCAATTCAGGTATTTATTAAAGCATCAGATATATTTCACATCAAATAATAAATTGGGATTTTAATTTGTGTGTTTTCTTTCCCAGTTTTCTCCCAGTTGATGATCTCCTTCTTCTATGGAGGAAAGCTGATGCACAACACACTGGTCACACACCCTGAAGGCTGCAGGATTTCTCCCCAGCAGCACCTGGGTCGTGGCGCCCTCTACAGCTCAGACAGCATGCAGAGTGTTCACTTTCCTCCAGCTGAGCTGATTGAGTATGACCGGCAGCGTTATGTCACGCGCAAGCTGCTGGGTCACCTGGAAAGAGGTGTGCTGGTGCGTGCGAACCAAGAAGGCATCTTCATCAAACGTCTGTGCCAGAGTCGCATCTTCTGGAGTGGGCTCAGGGAAGCCAGCTCCCAATACAACTCTATGCCTGGCAAACTCGAGAGAGATGCAGTGGTCAAGATTTTTGACACTGGAAGGTTTTATCAAGGTGAGGCGCAGGATTTTAGTGTCTTCGAAGGAGGTGATAACCAAAATCTATGCTAATTTTATGTTTTCCTTTTGACTCCTGAATATTCCAGCTCTGCAGCTTTACCAGGAGGGTCAGATTCCTGCTCCTGATCCCACAGTGACTCTGTGTTTTGGAGAGGAGCTCAGTGATCTCAACAGCTCCAAGAGCAAACTGATAATCGTTCAGGTGAGCAAACTTGAAAGTGGACAGAAAGGTTGTTTTCTGCTTGTGTTTTGGACGGCCTGCTCATACCAAACTCTCCTCTCGTTGACAGATCTCCATAGTGAACTGCCAGCACATGCTAGAAACGGTGAACATGCGTCGCTCTCAACAATACAGCAACAACCAAACCATGGAGATGTGTGACGATGTGGCCACTGAGCAAATGGCTCGCATCTACCAGGATTTGTGCAGCTACAGCGTTCCCCAGAGATCACCGTGCTACAGGGACAACATGCCCATCACGGTCTGACCTGGAAACATCTGCTCAGCAGGAACCAGACAACATATCAGAGACATTACGTGTACACTGACAAGGAAATACATTTTTTTCTGATAATGCAGCTTTTAGGTTGATGCACATGACGTCTCTTGTTCTTCTGCAAATAACCTGATATTTTTTTTTGTTTTCATGCAAGACAAACACACCTGAATCCATATAAAACACACATGCTGGTGTAAATATTCTGCATAAATAAAGCCTCGTTTGCAGATTTAAAAGAGATCAGACATCTCTTTTTTCAGTTTCTGCAGTTTAGTTAATCCTTTTCACACACTTTAGTCAGGATTGTTTTTATTTCATCAGATGGAGTTGTGTTTTCTACAGAAAACTAAATATTTTTATATAAATTAACAAAAATTGCACAAAACTTGCAATGGTGTTAGAATACTGATAGGTTTTACTATCAAACTGCTTTTTCATGACTTTGTCAATTGTTTTTCTAAATAAAATGTTTTAACTGAATCCTGCTTGTGTTTGTATTTATCAAAGAATTTTTAGAATTCTGTTTAATGCAAAACTAACAACAAAATGATTTTATCCAGAAATAAAGAGTTAAATATAAAAATAACTGGATACAGACGGCTTTTCAATAACAAACATCTCACATGATCACATTTCAGACCAGTTTTTTATTATTTGTATTACTTTTTTAGTACATTTCTTTTTCAGAGACTGGATTTTCATTCAGTTTACTGATCACTCAAACCTCCATAGATTTGTGCATTTGAATTCAAAGATACAAATCTACTTCCTGCATCTTTTAGCATCCTCACAACCTTGTTGAGGTAAATAAAAACACCAGATGCACATCCAGCATGAACCAACAAACTTTCACACGAAATTATTCAGCCTCCAGCATATTTTCATGTCTGCCCTGAATGCTTGAATACATTTTTTAAGTTGTTGCTTTTACTTTCTCATTGTGACTAAACAGTTCCTTCTTTATTCATAAATGGTAAAGAGCAATCTTTGGCTGCAATACACAAATGTCACCAAAAATGTACCAATCAAACATAAAGCAGAATTACAGTTTAATTAATGTCTGTATTCGTGAATAAGGATAATTCGACAGTTTTATGAAGGGGAAGTCTGAATTTCATCACAATAAAAGTACCTCCAATGGACATGACTTTTCCAAAATATTGCTAAATAGAAAATGATTGTTTTAGGGAACTGCTCCATGACAGAGATAATTATTTACCATGAACACACAGTTATTCACTCTGGCTTTAAAATGATGAAACTAAATCAGTTTTTGAAAGTAAAAGAAGGATCTAGACAGAAAAAGCACACACAAACATCTCACTGATGACTAATAAAGAAAGGACATGAACAGAGGTGACCAACCGCTGCTGAGTGATTGTATGATTCACAGTGAGATGGAGACGTCCCTTCTCCTTACTCTCCCATTAGTCAGGGAAGGAGGAACATGGCCATCTGCATCTCAAATGTCAGAGGTACACAGAGGCCATGTTGGGAGGGAAGTACTCATCACACGCACGCACGCACGCACGCACGCACGCACGCACACACACACACACACACACACACACACACACACACACACACACACACACACACACAGGGATGTCATCATTTCAGAAAACATAACAGGAGTTGATTAATGGAGTTGATCAAAATGTACCCGAAGATGAAGATACAACTCTGTTGTGGAAATTCTCTGCTTGGATTTATGAATTATTTTAGAGCACCTCTGGTAAAATCAAAAAGTACTTTTTATGACAGAGACATTTCAGAGTCATTGAAAAAGAAAAACAATCCGGGAACAATTTTACCTCATTAGATGGACTGAGGTGAAACTAGCCAACGGTCTGATAAACCAAAAGTGGAATTTTTATGAAGCTAACCATTAGCATTTGCAAATCTACCACACAGCAGAACTCCTTCAGGCTTGTGTTATTTGTGGAGATAAAGCATCAATGTTGCAGTCAGTGGTAGAGTTGCATTGCTTTTAGCCAGTCTGAGGCGAGATGTCCAAACATCAGAAAATAAGTCTCCAAATCCTGTCGTCTACGGCTACTTTGGCCCTGTCCCAATGCTCACACCGTGCCCTACAGTCCTGGGTGAAGTGCACTTGGAGGAAGTGCGCAGCAAAGCTTTGAGTGTGTAGTACACAGTTGTGCAAATGATTGTTGAATGAGCATAGCGTCATCAACTGCGATGCACGCCAGGATGCCGGTTGCTGTTTGTGCAACTTAAAAAAAATCTTTCAACTTTCAAAGAACCAATAATTTGACACAATTTACATTCATTGCTGTTCGTGTTAAATGAGTCTAGAAAATTCAGAGCATGTGTAAATATCATTATTACTGATACTAAAATGAAGAGGACATGATACAAATTAGGTTCTAATATTGAAGATTTGATTTTCCATAAATATTCCAAATATTTGTGTCTTCCTGACTGGAATGGGAAAATTCTCTTTTTATTCTACAGTCACTCAGAAGGAAAAGTCATACTGAATGATAGTAAAACAAGTGATTCAATTACTGCCATGTCCTGTCAAAATCTACACACCAGCACTGTTATCAGTTAACAATATTTATCAACAAACACTGAACTACTTCTATGGCAGGTTTGAACAGCAGTCCACCTGCCTCATCTTCCCTCCACCCCTTCCAATAGCTCCTCAATTCTTCATCGAGGAGGAGGAGGTTAGAGCCTCCTTCAATAAAAATAAAAGGAAGAAAGCAGCGAGGCCTGATGGTGTAATCCTGGCTGTCTTGAAGCACTTTGCAGCACAGCTAGTCCCAATCTTCACCTTTATTTTCAACAATTTCCCTCGGTCAGTATATGGTTCCTAAGTGCTTAAAGGATCCTGTTATCATTCCGATTCACAAATCAAGTGACTACAAGCCTATAGCTCTCACAACTGTTAAAATGAAAGATTTTGAACACATCATACTGACACACCTGACAGAACTCACCTCTCCGTTGTAGCCTCCGGAAATGGTCTGTTTTTCCATCTACAGGTCGACCTCTTCAGTATCAGGTCACATGGAGACAAGTCTTAACTGGGGCTTTAATCTGCAAGAAAGATATTGTGCTCGCCCAAGGTCCCTCGCAAAGCTCTCTCTTATCCAAGACTGCTTCGCTTCACAGCACAAGACGGATGAACTCTCATAATTGAATCATAGAATGAACAAAAGGAGTAAATAATCATATGGTTGAATGAACAATATTGGTTGAAGAATAATAACAGTGTTTTGATTAATCTGTGCTTAAACCACTGTGGTTGAAATGAATAATATTATGTTATGATCAGTAAAGTTAGATTTAACAAGTGAATCACTTTCTACTGACAGCTCACGCACTCAGACACGTGACGATGACAAGGTTAAACTAATATCTTGACACATTGCTTTCTGTTCTACCAATCAGAACTCTGTATCTGAAGCAAGGTGTGTTTTCTGAGGTTTGTTGGTAAAACCCTTTTTACATGTCACGTTCTGATTTGTTAGTAAATCAAAATATGACAATCATTAAAACAGAGCTCACTTCAACACTAGTCAGTTCTTGAGAAAGCTTCGGACCGGCCATCCGGACCAAACCTCTTTAACCCAGAGCATCTTTTGACAAGCTGTCAAAAACCTGTTGCACGCTACAGCTGACCACAAACGGTTCCTTCAGAATAAAGCTGAACCAACTTCAACTCCTTAAGAGTTATTCCTAAGACGCAAATAACAACTGTCGTGACCTGGCGACAACTCAAGACCGGTCTAGTCGGCAGGTCCCCGGACCTCAACACATTCTGGATCTACCATGGGGGTCTTCGAGCTGGTACTTGGACTCGACAGATTGCGTCTAATGTGTTTTTGATAAGAACCAACTTTGTTAGTTTAATGCAGACCAAATTCACTCGCACTCAGAACTCAGTTTCTCCTGATACGAGAGGTTCTGATAACATCACATTCACACATCATCACATTCCAACAACTTAGATTCATTCATCACATAAAGTGTCCTAGTTGTCATGTTTTAATTGTTTAGAAAATAAATTTCTTACTTTTTATAAATTTGACTCTCTTCTTGAATTATTACGGTGTCTGACAATCCCCGAATAAACAAAGAATTCTAAATCTTCTGGTTAAACATTCAAAGACCAATCAGACTGGATTTCCATATTTATATCGAAGTTCACATCATATTGGTCAAAGTGTAGGGTAGTATATCAAGCTTTAAAAGCACCCAAATACATAAATATGTTACTCCTACACCGTCCATGGATAATCACCAGTTTGCTTGTCTGACCAATGGATCTGTTGAAGATGCAATAAATCTGGCCATTCACAATATCATGCAATACCTGAAACCCCCCTCTACACTTAAGCTCACACTTTATTTATTGACTTCAGCTCTGCAATCTCAATCAATCCAGTTAACCTTTAATTTCCTGTCACAGAAGGTCATGATGGGTGGCCTCCTGCCACAACCTCTGACCCTCAGCATGGGTGCCCCTCAGGGCTGTGTTCTCTCTCCTTGGCTTTCCTCCATCTACACAGCTACACTCACATCTACTCTTAACCCAGTCTCCATTCTCAAATACAGGTGCTGGCCAGTAAATTAGAATATCATCAAAAGGTTGAAAATATTTCAGTAATTCCATTCAAAACGTGAAACTTGTACATTATATTCATGCAATGCACACAGACCAATGTATTTCCGATGTTTATTACGTTTAATTTTGATATTTATAGGTGACAACCAATGAAAACATCAAATCTGGTATCTCAGAAAATTAGAATATTCTAAAGGCCAATGAAAAAATGTTTGTTTCTCTAATGTTGGCCAACTGAAAAGAATGAACATGAAAAGAATGTGCATGTATAGCACTCAATACTTAGTCGGGGCTCCTTTTGCCTCAATAACTGCAGTAATGCGGCGTGGCATGGACTCGATCAGTCTGTGGCACTGCTCAGGTGTTATGAGAGCCCAGGTTGCTCTGATAGTCGTCTTCAGCTCCTCTGCATTGTTTGTTCTAGCGTATTGCATCCTCCGCTTCACAATACCCCATAGATTTTCTATGGGGTTAAGGTCAGGCGAGTTTGCTGGCCAATCAAGGACAGGGATACCATGGTCCTTGAACCAGGTGCTGGTGGTTTTGGCACTGTGTGCAGGTGCCAAGTCCTGTTGAAAGGTGAAGTCTGCATCCCCATAAAGTTGGTCAGCAGCAGGAAGCATGAAGTGCTCTAAAACTTCCTGGTAGACGGCTGCATTGACCCTGGACCTCAGGAAACAGAGTGGGCCAACACCGGCAGATGACATGGCACCCCACACCATCACTGACGGTGGAAACTTTACACTGGACCTCATGCAACGTGGATTCTGTGCTTCTCCGCTCTTCCTCCAGACTCTGGGTCCTTGATTTCCAAAGGAAATGCAGAACTTGCTTTCATCAGAAAACATAACTTTGGACCACTCAGCATCAGTCCAGTCCTTTT